ACGGGGTTTCACCATGTTGACCAGGATGGTCTCAATCTCTTGACCTCGTGATCCACCCGCCTCGGCCTCCCAAAGTGCTGGGATTACAGGCGTGAGCCACCGCGCCCGGCCTTTTTTAAAGTTTTTAAGTCTCATTTTTTTTCTATTTGATTTGTGTTTAATTTACTCTTATTTTTCTGGGCTCTTAAGATAGAAGGTTAGATCACTGTTTTAAACTTTTTTTTTCCATTTCTAACATAACCACTTAAAGCTATGCATTTCCCTTCAAACACTAAGTGTCTTACCTGCATCCCTCTCATTTTGGCTTGTCATATTTTTATTTACTTTAGTCAAAACATTTTCTAAATTCTCATGTGCTTTCTTCTTTGTCCAATGGGTTATTTAAAAATGTAGAGCTTGATATCGAAATATTTGGTTATGTTTTTCAGGCATCTTTTTATTATAGATTTTAAATTTAATCGAGTTGCAATAAGAGAAAATGCTGTCATTTCATTTTCTTTAAATAAAATTTATTGGGACTTGCTTTATGGTCTAGCATATTGTCTGTCTTGGTGAATGTTTCATGTATTCTTGAAAAGGAAATATATTCTTCAGTTATTGGGTAAAGTGTTTTAAAAATGCCAAGTTAGGCCAGGCGCACTGGCTCACACCTGTAATCCCAGCACTTTGGGAGGCCAAGGTGGGCAGATCACCTGAGGTCAGGAGTTCAAGACCAGCCTGGCCTACATGGTGAAACCCCATCTCTACTAAAAATTAAAAAAAATTAGGTAGGCATGGTGGCGGTTGCCTGTAATCCCAGCGGCTCAGGAGGCTGAGGCAAGAGAGTTATTTGAACCCAGGAGTCAGAGCTTGCAGTGAGCCAAGATTGTGCCACTGCACTCCAGCCTGGGTGAGAGAGTGGGACTCTGTCTCAAAAAATAAAAAAATAAAAGTAAAAATACCCATTTAGTCAAATTGGTTAATAGTGTTAAATATTCTATATCCATATGATTTTGTTTACTTTTTTCTTTCAGGTACTGAGGGAGGATTGTTGAAATCCTTAACTGTAACTTTGAATTTGTCTATTTTTCCTTTCAGGTCTGTTACTTTTTGCTTTATGTATTTTGAAACTCTGTTATTAGGTGAAAAAACATTTAGAATAATTTTGTCTTTTTGATGAATCAGTCCATTTATAATTAGGAAATAGATCCCTTCCACATAGATACTTATTGCCCTCAAGTTACATCGTCTGATATTTAATATTTTCTTCACAGTTTTCTTGTGATTAATGTTTGTAAGGTGTATCTTCTTCCATACTTTGTATATAAAGTGCCCCTCTTGTAAACAGCATATAGTTAAGTCTTGCATTAAAAAAAATCCAGTCTGACAGTCTTTACTTTTAGGTATAACATTTAGTCTATTTAATCTAATTAGTGATATGAGATGTGTTACTTTTGTGATCTTGTTTTTCTGTTTGTCCTATTAGTTAATTTGTCCTATTAATTTTCTATTTGTCCTGTTAGTTAATTAGAACTTATTCCCTTCCTCACCAAATCCCTTATTTACTCAGGCCATAGCATTCTCACAAGCAGCATGATGGGAGAATATTTGAACATGAAATAAAAAGAGAATATTAATTTCCTTATCCTGATTTTATTATTCAGCTTCTTGATCACAGATTTCTCTGACCATGATTATCTTTCCTTTATGAACAGTATCCACAAATAATGATAATGGTTCACCGTTAGTGTTGTGTATAGCATTACTCCTATAATAAGCCTTTTCAAGTTGTTTAGTCAGCCATCAAAGTTTTAGGAAATCTTTACTCTGGGGAAAGATTTCAGCTTTCCTCTCACTTTGTAAAAAAAATTCTCCCTTATAAATAATCTAATCTTATATTCAGAGATTAATCTGTGTGTATAAACAGTTGATGTATAATCTTCACATCTGCTACCAGGAGCAGATAAAACCTGAGATTAATTTGGTTATGGGCAAAGAAGAATGTAAATTAATTGGAAAAAAGTAACTCAAAACTTTGGTGTCCTATAGTAAGTTCTTAATAAATTGTGAACTTATGAATATGTGATTATTTATTTTACTTTCTTCTCATTGCTTCTCTTCTTTATTTTGCTATTGGAAGTGAAAGTCAAGTTGGCTGTTTAGAAGATTCCTAGTAAAGAATGTAATGATATTGATTGAAGAAATATGAAAATTTCTTTGAGATAAATTAGAACAGAAATAATGTTCTAGATTTAGCAAATAATATTCATCCTTTATATGTTTATTTAATATTAATATAATACAGTTACTTAATGTTCTGTGTAATCACTAAGCACAACATTATATATTATAAAATTCATAAGAAGGAAGGACAGGTAAAACTTTGCCCTCTATTGAAGAAATCTGACAAATGCACTAAGTTAAATTAAATTTAATTTCCTTTTAGAATTTCAACAAGTAAACATTACTCCACCAAAATATATTTTGAAGCCAAGACCAAAAAGGAGTAAACGGCAGGTATGTATTCATGGTGGTGTGTTGTGATATTTTAAAACAACTGTCAGCTGCCAATCACTTGAATCTACAGGAAGTCTGTGTGAGAGGGTGAGTACTAGTTCAAGAATTTGTCAGGGTGTGATAAACCGTAGGGTGACAGATCTGAAGAAGCAGTAGAAAGGGGCCGTATTATTTCACAGATGCAAAAAGTATTCAAGATAGTGGTGATAATGTGAATCTTCATCATATTATGGGTTATGAGACTCCTGCTTGTGGCATCTCAGGTTCTTTCAACCATAGCCTTCTTTCCTTGCCCAAATATGTACCACACAGTGGAGTCCATTTGTATAGAATATATCCTTGTATTTATTTCTTGAAGATAACCCCTTAGGAATGAATCTATCAGGTTGTGAAGCCACAAAATGTTTTTGTCTCACTTGAGCAATTTTGGAGTCCAGGATATAAAATTAGGTCATGGGCTTTATGATTGTTCAACTGAATCTTGGACTGGGTAATAATAACTGTTGATACAGTGCTTTAAACCAAATGAGGTAGGTACTGTTACTCCCCTTTCACTGAAAGAAAAGTGATGGCTCTGACATGTGAAAATGACTTACTCAGAATCATGGAGCTGGTAAATAGTTTAGAAAAAATTAAGAGTTATGGCCATCAGAATCAGGATATTACTACTGTGGTGGTGTGGGCAGAGGGATAGGCATTAAAAACACAAGATGAAGGAAATAGATCTCTCTAGTAAGATCAAGAAGTTGAAGGAACCAGATACCTTCTTTTTATTACCTTGAAATAAAATATGTTTACAGACAGATTTTTATTGCAAATAATAATTGCTAAATTTTTACCTTGTGCCTGGCCCTATTATAAGAACTTTAACTATGTAAACACATTTAACCCTCATAAAAACATTAAAAGGAAGATATTATTACAGGTTAAGTATCCCTTTTCCAAAATGCTTGGTACTAAAAGTGTTGCAACAGATTTTGATTTTTTTGTAGCGGGGGAGGGAGGGTGGATTTCAGAATATTTCATTATACTTAGTGGTTCAGCATCCCCAATTCAAAAATTCAAAATCTGAAATGCTCCAATGAGGATTTCTTTGGAGTGTAATATTGGTGCCCAAAAAGTTTTTCATTTTGCAGCATTTGGGGTTTTGGATTTTTAGATGAGAGATAATCAACCTATATTATCCCCATTTTACTGATAAAGATGCCTTGAAAGCACAAGAGGATCAAGAAACTTGCCAAAAGCCACATAGGGTTACCCAGTGGTGGAGCTGGGATTCTGACCTAGGAAGTCTGGTCTCAGAGAGGTGCTTATAACCACATATACACTAAATATTGCCTCTCAGACCCATGTGTTGCATGAATTATTATTGTGACTTTTATAAATGTTATGAATGTTTATATATTATATATACATGAATAGAAGATAGAGACATATATATCTTGAGTCCCAGTTAGACAAAATAATTACCATCAGGATTTAATGTGAAACAGTATTTTTATGAATTATAGACTAAAAGAATAGGATAATATTCTTTTGACATGTGTCCTGAAGTTCATCATAAACATCTCAACGTGTAGTCATTTGGTAAGTGGACAAATCCTTAATATCTCTTTCTGAGAAAGCCATGGACCCATGGAGGTGAAGTGCTACAAAACTGTGGGCCAGTATGGCAACTCTCTGACATTAGCAAAATGTTGGGACTTGTTGAAAAGTTTACCGTATTAACTAGTCTCTCACAAGTAGCAAAGTAGTTCCTATTGCCCTAAAAACGGCCCCCTCCCTTAAAAAAAAAAAAAAAAAGACTCTTGTCATTGGGTGCACTTTAATGTTATTCTTTGGTTTCCAACCTCAGAATTATATCTATTATTCCCTATCACCTTGGTGTTATAGGAGATTTTTTTAAAAAGTTTTTAAGTTTAGGAATGCAGTTAGCAATGATAGAATCCATATGGCAGCATTTTAAAAGTTTATTTTAACTGCACCACTCAAAACAAACATACATGTGTTGATATTTAGGCTTGATTGTATACCCTTATCACAAAAATGGACCTTGGGTAAGTGATCAAAATGTTTTCTAGAAAATTTATATTGAACTGTGACATAAAGGTAAAAGTTAGCTTTACATACCTTGTTAATGATTGTATTATAGGCTAACTGTAGAGAAGAAGGAGAATGGCTGCCTTAGTGGCTCTTTCCTATACAGTCATTGGTCATGATTTTGAAGGAGGAGAAAATTTGTTGTTGAGCAGAGAAAGCTAGCTGTAATAGACAACTCAAGACTGCCTATGAGTTCTCAAAGCTATTCACACAAAGACCCCATGTCATTTGGGGATCCCCTGAACCATCCTAGATGAAGGCTCATGACTCATTCCCAATGTGGAGATTAAATAATAAAAGTGCCAATCACTCCAGTCTGTACCCTCGCAGAGATCCTCAGAAGACCTTAAATTAAATCCAAAAGAATGCTCTTCATGTGTTACTATTTTCAAGATAGATTGTTAAATGAAAATCGCTAGTTGCAGAAGGGAGTGAAATAAACAGAAGTACAAAATATAGGATATATTCACACTTAGTTTTATATGCATAAATATTTCTGGAAGGAACCAGTAACTTGCTGTATCCATTGTGGGGGAAGCAGTAAGAACTGAGTAGGTAGAGAATAGAGGTGAGAGGAAGACATTCATCTTATGCCCTTTTATAGTTTTGAAATTTTTTGAGCCATGTAAATCTATTACCAATTCAGAAACTAAGCAAATTGATGAAAAAGATTTTAAATGCTAAAGGAATAAAAAGGGAAAATTTTGTTTTGTCAGTTTCTTCCACATTTTGTAGCCTTTCACAGCCAAGTTTAGAGGTCTGAATTAGGTGCTATTTCTTTTACTGTATTACAGCTTCGTCGATATCCTCGTAATGTAGAAGAAGAAACCAAATACATCGAACTGATGATTGTGAACGATCATCTTATGGTAGGATTTGCTGTTGTTTTTAAGCCTGTTCGTGCCTAGAGTAAAACTGGTGAGTGCAAAAATATGTATAGAAAAAGCAAGAAGCCCATCAAGCTGTAATCTGGAGAAGGTATTTGTATAATAAAATATATTTGTTAGCTTGCAGCAACCTGAAATTAGGAAATATTCTTAGGTGGAAATAACTAGCGGGAATTTTTGAATTGTCAAAAGTATTTTGTGACTCATAGTATCAATCTTTGAATTTACTTGATTAGTAGAGGTACTAATAATTTGAATCTCCACTTACTAAAATGACAAGGTTTGAAAAAAATGGAAATCCCATTATATGTTGAAAAAGTGAGGCACCAATTATGTGAGATTTTAGTTTGCAAGGTACAGCTTTATCTTAACAAAAGGAAAGCAGTTTTTCTATTTCAGTCTTAATGTGCAGAAATCCTATGGAAATGCTTACAGAGCTAACCAGTGAAAATTCTTAGGATAAGAACTTGACGAAACTTTTATGTTGCTGAATCAAATTATTTCGACCCATAGTGTTTATATTCAGTTCATGGACCTGTTGCAGGCAGTATGACTACATTCGTAGCACAGCAATGAGTTATAATGATGATTGTTCCATGTAACCAGAGTTTTAAAACTAAGAAGGTTTAATGATACGTATTGTTGAACTTATCTTAATTTCCAGTACAAGTGCATTTTAATTTACTTTGAACTATTTATTTGAGGAAAAATTTGTCATTTATTTATGTATGATTAAATAAATAACTTAGATCTTAATTATTACTGTTGCTAATAATAATAATAATAACAGGATAAATCAGGATTGAGTGTTGCTTCCTTGTTCAAGCTAGGTCTAAGTTTTATCTTTCTACCTATTTGAATCCAGTGAATATTATTGTTCTCTAAGACTTTTATTAAATAAAAATAAGCTATAGCAACATACATTTTGAGCATTTTAGATAGTCACAAATTCAGATGTACAGAGACATCTGTAGACATATAACATAAGCAAAATGAACCTGGTATAAGACAGTAGAGATGAATGAGGCCTGTGGTGAAAAGAATGGTGCGTGGCCCGTCTAAGGGGAGCACCTGCCTCTCAGTGTTTGCCAGTAACTACCAAGTGGGAATGCTAATTTTAACTGAAGCCAGAAATTGGATTTTATGTGATACTTCCTGATTTTTAAAACACACTTGAGACCAAAGATGTATGTGATCCACATCTGTCCTGTATGCCACCTCATTGTAATCTTTATCTTTGAGCTTTCTTCTTGCTGAATAAGTTATGTAGAACTTTTAAATTTTTATGCTTTCAGCAATATTCACATCCATTTTTACTGTCTGTACCCCTACTTAGATTTGTATGATGTCTTACAATTCATAGATGACTTTCATGTTTTATCATTTTGAATAACAATCCCGATAAAAATAAACCTATGAAATGAATGGGTTGGATATTTTTTACTTTATCTCCCAGATGAATAAATCAAGGCCTCAGTCTTTCAAGAGCCCTGTCTCAGGCAACACAGCAGATAAAGAACTTGATCTCAATTCTGACTCTTAACATTGTTTTACAGAAAATATATTTTTTTACATTTTTAGAGCTCTTTCAATTACACCATGTTTTCTCTGATGAGATGATTATTTTCTGATCACCTTGGAAGACCTTCACTTGTTTTCTTTTGCTTTCAGTTTAAAAAACATCGGCTTTCTGTTGTACATACCAATACATATGCGAAATCTGTGGTGAACATCGCAGATTTAGTAAGTATCAACCCAATTCATTATTGCCCTAGGAGAATCTTACTTTCTGATTGCTAATAGAATGGGTAATATGGTTCATATAGTTTCACTGCTCTATGTTGTACTTCAGCCAAGGTGCTGAGTAAGTCCTGGGTAACATTGCAATAGACTTTATTGACTTTGATCTCTGGCTGGGAAGAGGAACTGGTCGAAGTTATCCATAGATACACCTGAAATTCCATCCTGTGTTTTTCACACTGTAAAAATAAAGGTTGTGTTATACCCCTACCAAAGGTATTCATAGTGACTTCTAACGATGGAGAAACAGTACAACAGTTGTACTTTTTTTAAGAGTGTCTGGTGCTGTGGCAGTGATGCAACTAAGTAATTCCACTATACCTCCATACTTCCCAAATCTTCCCTTGACAGGGCTGTCCTGGTACCTTCTTCACAAGTCTAAACAGAGCCAATCAGGTTGTATGGAAATTATTTCTTTGGAGAGTCTTCATTGCTCCATTTTTGGCTAGGGGAACTCACACATGGATGAATTCTTTTTCCAGGGTTCTAGAAAACAGATTAAGGTGGAGCCTTGAATAGGGTGCAATTATTTGTTAAAACGGGATCTTTTGTTTCTAAAATGTGCTCTGTTCTTTGGATATTACTCAGTCAACAATTTCATTCTCTGTTACTCAAGGGAAATGCATGTAAATTGGAAAGTTATCTTCCTTTAACTAAAACCCAGGAAGTTTCCATGAAAGGAGTTTTGTATTCCTGTTCATAAGCTATTTGATTTTACCACATGTACAGCTGATGTGTTCATTTTATTAATATACTAGATATATAAAGACCAACTTAAGACCAGGATAGTATTGGTTGCCATGGAAACCTGGGCGACTGACAACAAGTTTGCCATATCTGAAAATCCAATGATCACCCTGCGTGAGTTTATGAAATACAGGAGGGATTTTATCAAAGAGAAAAGTGATGCAGTTCACCTTTTTTCGTACGTAACTTATGTAATGATGTATTACTTTTTTTGATTCCATGTTAAATGCTTTATTGTGACTGAAATGTATCCGTTCTGCTACATAACACAATTAGGATTTGACATGGCAGATGGCAGATAGAGTTGGAAAAAGTTTTAAAGTATAGATCGTTTAAAATTGCAATGAAAATGAAAATGATTTAATTTTGAGTTATTTTATTATTTAATGTTTGTTTTAATTTTTCAAGATATTTAATGGATCAGAGCATTTACTGAGTAAAAATAACTGCTAATACTCTTATTTAGCATTCTTAACTGCAGATAAATTATATTCTTTAAAGCTACTGTCTTTTAAATGTTAATGTTTTCTCTGCTTTTTGTTCTAAGATGAGAGTTTAGTATTTCTGGAATTTATTTTTAATTTTTTCCTCACTCTTATGTTCTTTTTTTGATAGCATACATATTTGATGTAATAGCAAATTATATATAGTAGAATTTTTAAAAAATCTATCATCTAAAGTTAGAGCTGTTGAAGGCAGTTATAAAAGGAAGAAAAGATTTATTTTGGGATAACTTTATATATAATTTCAAATTTAGAGAAAAGTTACAATTATACTACAAGGAAATTGCATGTGCCCTCTATCCAGATTCATCAGTTATTCACATTTTCCCCATTTGTTTTATAATTTTCTTCCATTCTTCCTCCCTTCTTTCTAATCATCCATCCTTCAGTTTTTTTTTTTTTTTTTTTTTCTTCTGAACCTTTTGAAAGTAAGTTGAAGATGCTGGGCATTTATTATTAAATAGTATGTATTCTCTAAATGTGAAAAGACATTCTCTTATATAACCACATTAAATTATTAAAACCCAAAAATTTAACATCAGTACAATACTTTTATGCAATCCATAGTCTATATTCAAATTACACCAGTTGTCTCAATAATATCTTTTACAGATAATTTTCCCCATCCAAGATCCAAGCCAGGTTCACACATTGCATTTAATTATCATGTCTCTTTAGTTTCCTTTAATCTGAAAGATTTCCTTAGCTTTCCTTTGTCTATTGTGAATTTAACACTTTTGAAGAATAAAAGCCAATTATTTTGTTGACTCTTCCTCATTATGGGAATGCCTGATGTTTTCTCATTATGACATTTAAATTGTGTATTTTTGGCAGAAATACCAGAGAGGTGATCTTGTGTCTCTCAGAGTACATCATATCAACCAATTCTTTTTTAATAGATATACTTCAATTTAAGATATTTATTAATCTTGTGGGAAAACATGCCTCAGAAACCTTTTGCTTTGGTTACATGTGTAAACAATTTTTACATTCTTCCCTTACAACATGAATGAATATATTGTATAGAAATCTTATGTATATTGTGAAAATAAATGTAGTAAACTAATAATGAGAGGCGCTGTGATGTTTGAACTGTGAACAGTAAGCATTTTTCATTTCCTTTTCTAAAAGGGGGAGTCAATTTGAAAGTAGCCGGAGCGGGGCAGCTTATATTGGTGGGATTTGCTCGTTGCTGAAAGGAGGAGGCGTGAATGAAGTAGGTGTGAACATCTGTACAATGCAAAGTGGTATGATGGCTGAAAATGTTTTCCTCATACTTAAGAGATAATTTCTCAGTATTTGCACACTCCAGATGTTAGATTGCTATGTTACAAATCAGTGTGGTGTCCTGGCACAGTGGCTTATTCCTGTATCCAGCACTTTGGGAGGCTGAGGAGGACAGATTGCTTAAGCTGAGGAGTTTGCCTGGGTAACAAGGCAAAACCCCATTTATATCAAAAATACAAAAATAAGCTGGGCGTGTTAGCGTGTGTCTCTAGCCCCAGCTACTGGGGAGGCTGAGGTGGGAGGATGGCTTGAACCTGGGAGGTGGAGGTTGCATTGAGCCCAGATTGCGCCATTACACTGTAGCCTGGGCAACAGAGTGATACCCTGTCTCTAAATAAATAAATAAATAAATAAATAAATAAATAAATAAAATATGGTTACTATAAGTGACCAGAGGATCAACTCAGGAAATAGTGATATAATATATGTCAATTGTTATACGTTCATGTTATATTTAGAATAATTTCCAGATTAAGCTATTTACAGATTAAATAGAGAGAATCTTTACCTTTATCTTCATTGAAAATAAAGCCCTATTTATCACTTTGAGTGATTTTCCAGGGAATTGAATAGTTCCCTGACGCATCAGCTTGCCACCTAACAACCCAATTGGATATTTTTTCCTTAGTGTTTAACAGATTTGGGGATAAGAAAAATAGAATAGGTTTTGCAAAGGGTTCCTTTTACTTCTAAGGCACTAAACCTATTAGAGATGATTGAAAAGAAAATACTTGCATCTTTAAGAGGCTACAAATTGAAAAATACACCCTCAGTTCTTAAGTTTCTATTGAGGGGAATTTCAGGAGTACAAGTGGACACAAAGATGGACAAGTTCTAAAAAGAATTTACACATTTAATTTTATTTTGTATTATTGAAAAGACTGATTTAATTATATACCAATATTGAATTTTTTGCGAATGTCAGTGGTGAAATTTAGACTCAGATATACATTTCAAAAACCCAAAAGCTGTGATTATTTCCTGACTTCTAGTATTCCCTGTAAGACCTCATCAAACATGGGTTTTTGTTTCTTTTTTTTTTTTTGAGACGGAGTTTCGCTCTTGTTACCCAGGCTGGAGTGCAATGGCGCGATCTCGGCTCACCGCAACCTCCGCCTCTTGGGTTCAGGCAATTCTCCTGCCTCAGCCTCCTGAGTAGCTGGGATTACAGGCACATGCCACCATGCCCAGCTGAATTTTTGTATTTTTAGTAGAGACGGGGTTTCACCATGTTGACCAGGATGGTCTCGATCTCGACCTCGTGATCCACCCGCCTCGGCCTCCCAAAGTGCTGGGATTACATGCGTGAGCCACCGTGCCCGGCCGGGATTTTTGTTTCTTAATACTTTTTCCCAACTGCATATTCAGTGCTGGCTACAATGTGTTGTTTAGATTCTGCTAAAGAAATTACTTAGAAATTACTTGTTTACAGCGATATTGTGACATTTTTCTCTTATTTTTCAGTGACAATTTGGATTTACATACATTTTATTTTTCTTTTTGTTTTTCAGTTTGGGAAAACTGATTTAATGGCTGTTACACTTGCCCAGTCATTAGCCCATAATATTGGTATTATCTCAGACAAAAGAAAGTTAGCAAGTGGTAAGTTTTAGTATATGTATGGTTAATTGTATTTAAAATAGACTATTTGTAAAATATTTTGGAGGTAAAAGTTTTTGATTTTAGTTGCTTGATGAAAAGAATTTTAGTGATAGTAAATGATAAACATCCAGGGCATAAACGGTTGCTTCCCAAAGTAATACAATGGAATGTTTACATTATAGATGGAAATTTCTGCATGTATAATAAACTTTAAAGCCATGTGATAATAAATACAAGCTGAATTTAACCTTAAAAGGGACAAAATAAGCCCAGTTTGTTCATTATAAATGGTTTAGTGGAGACTTCAGGCATATAGGCTTCAGACATACTGTTTTATTATGTTTTATTTAAAACATTTCTGAACATGGCCACAGACATAGAATTTCCATATCAGGATCAGACCTGACAAAAAGCTTAGTTAATATATGCACCTAGTATAATATGCTAGGTTTGGCATCTATGAAGAATGTCTTTTTTCAGTAGGTAAAGTCATTTCACCCTGAATGGTCAAATACTGTGTATTTAGCGTAAAAATGTCATTATTTCCATTTTTATTTCATTATTTTAGTAACAAACATTAAAAATATTATTTTTATAATCTGGAATCCCAGCACTTTGGGAGACCTAGGTGGGTGGATCACCTGAGGTCAGGAGTTCAAGACCAGCCTGGCCAACATGGTGAAACCCCGGTCTCTACTAAAAATACAAATATTAGGAGGGTGTGGTGTCAGGCGCATGTATTACCAGCTACTTGGGAGGCTGCTGCAGGAGAATCACTTGAACCCGGGAGGCAGAGGTTGCAGTAATCCAAGATCACACCATTTTACTCCAGCCTGAGCAACAGAGTGGGAGTCTGTCTCAAAAATAAAATAAAATAAAATAAAATAAAATAAAATAAAATAAAATAAAAGTAAAAGTAACTGTTACCATTTATAGAGTATGGTAATCAACTGTTACCATTATAAATGATTGAGTGCTAGTATTATTTCCATTTAGATACTCATTTAATTCTCCAGATAGTTCTACAGGACACCCATTTTAGGCCCATTTTGTAGATGAAGTGACTAGATCTTAGAAGTATAATGTCTCTAAGATTACACTGATATCAAATGGCAAACTCATGTTTTGAACCCTAGTATTCTGAAGCCCTTCTGCTTAACCATTAATATATTACATCGCCTTCTACCAGAAACCTTGGTGCATGCAGAGACTTTCAAAAATGGGCAAGAAATTATAATAGTTCTCATAAAGGCCTATGAAATTGAGATACTGTCAATGGTGCCATAAAATTCTTCACTATTCCATAGGTATTTGATTGTCTTTCAATTAAGCCATTTTAAATAAAAAGTTTAAATATGGCCATTTGTTAAAATACAAGGATTTTTTGGTATTATATAATCATATATAATCAATATTATATAATTTTTATTATGTAATCAAAGCATATATTTGTTGTATATTACATTAAAAACTATTGTAAGATGAATTAGAAAGAAGGTATGACTTTTTAAAAGGTATCTTAAGGAATAAAATGGAGGTAATGATTTTAAAATAGAAAGTACTTTAATGCAACTGTGTTCACTTTATAACAAGGTTTGTGTATTAATTTTCTCTTAGGTGAATGTAAATGTGAGGACACGTGGTCCGGGTGCATAATGGGAGACACCGGGTGAGCCACTTCTATATGAAAATAGCTCAGTCATACATTCTCTGCTGTGCTGTTGTCTTGTTAGGAATATGACACTCAGTAACTTAGTGCCTGGAATCTAGCCAAAGGCATTTATGAGACATCAGAAGTAAATATTCTTAATGGTTCTGTATATAACATATTTTTGCAAAATAACCTCTTATATATAAAAAAATCTATGGAAATAAAATAATTGAAATATTACTAAAATAATAACAGCAAAACATGGTCAAAGTTTAAACTAGGACAGTAATGACGATAAGCTTGGATTCATCATCATTCAAAAGGTATGAAGAATAAAACAGTGGGCACTTGTACACCATTATGCAGCTTTTAAAAAGTAAAATACTACATTTGTGGTGAAATCTCCCTTGTGTCCTACCTTATTAATTCCCAGCCCCAGCCTAGGTAACCACCATCTGAGTTTGGTTCCTATCATTTTCAAGTCATTCTTTATATTTTTACTGTGTAGTATGTATGCATGTTGGAGTAAAACATAGCATTGGTTTGCATGTTTTCAGTTTATGTGAGAGACATCATGTTGTATGTATTCTTCTGTGACTTGCGGTTTTGTTTTTTTTTTTAATCAACATGATGTTTGTGAGGTTTATCCATCCTTTTAATATACAACTCTTGTTCATTACATGCCGTTCTCCTGCTCAGAAATGTTGTGAGTCTCTGATGTCTGAAGAACGCGGTTCCAATTCTTAACTTCAGTATTTAGATTCCCATAATCTTTCTTCATTCTCGTTTGCAATCTCCTTTTCTCCTACTATTCATGATTGGTTTGCTTACTATAATTGTACAGAAGTTTCTAGGTTTTTTGATTTGCTAGCCATAATCCTACATAGATTTTCAGCTTCTTAAAAACTTGCTCACCATAATTGTACATTAATTTCCAACTTTGTTTGATTTCCTTAGTATATTCTCTTTATCCGGAATGCCTTTCCTTTTTTTTCTCTAAGCACAATTCTAACCATCTCATATGTATTGTAATTTTATCCCCTGCATTATAATTTAATTCTATATGTACTTATACTTCCTTTCACCAATTGGTTAATACATTTTTGAGAGGCTACTTATTCTACTAACACGTTTCAGACTCGTGCCATAATCCTTTGTACACACTTGATTTTCAACAAATATTTCTTGACTGTATTTGAATTTTGAACTCACAGGATATGTATAAAAAGAAAAATAAATGATAGAGGTAATGTATACGCAAACATGTGTTTAAAATATTTTTCAAGCCAGGCGCAGTGCCTCATGCCTGTAATCCCAGCACTTTGAGGGGCTGAGACAGGCAGATCGCTTTAGCCCAGGAGTTTCTGACCAGCCTGAGCAACATGGCAAAACCCCATCTCTACAAAAAATACAAAAATTAACTAGGTGTGTGGCACACACCTGTAGTCCTAGTTACTCAGGAGGCTGAGGTGGGAGGATCACCTGATTCCAGGGAGGTTGAGGCTGCAGATGATTGTGCCACTGAATGGCAGCATGGGTGACAGAGTGAGACCCTGTCTCAAATAATAATAATAATAATAATAATAATAATAATAATAAAGAAAAATATTTCTCCCAAAATCTTTGTTTAGTAATGAGAGGAAATGATAAAAGTCCTTGTTCCATAGTTACAGTTTCAACAGTTACTAAATTTCATACTAGAGATTCTTGTCTTTTAAATCCTACATAGTGTATTTGGTTATTCTGATTATTAAAATGCTTAATAGATAATCTGCATAGCACTAAGCATAATACACAGTGAAATCAAATGGCTACCTTCAGATACGTACAACTGTGTACATTGGAATTCTTCTTACATTAAAGAGATGCAAACAAGAGAAAAGTCCTTTGTATAAAACCATGGCATATGATTCTATAATTTGATCTATGCCAAATATCACCAAACAGCAGTAATTATGGACATTTGTTCCCATGGGTACATTCCCTACCATTTCTACTTTCTGAAGTTCTATACTGCTAAATATTAGACAGCAGAGTTGAAATGAATACCTTTAGTCCTATTTAAAGGAATAAAAATTAAAATTTGAAGAATTCACTGAATACAATAGTTATATTACTCTGTGAAACAGAAGTTTTGGGTGCAGAGGCAGGGGAGAGACATGATATCTGCTTTCAGGTATTTGAAGGGCTATGCTAAGGCAGAGGAATAAGGCTTTATGTAGTTAAGAATACAGAACTGTTCAGAAGTTAGAAGTCAGATGTGGCAAAATAAAAGTAAGAGCAATCCATAAATTTTCAACTATTCATATGTTTAAAAAGCTTCCCTGTGGGGGAGTGAGTTTACTGTCACTGCCAAGTGTTGAAGAACAGACTGAGCTTCCTCCCAGCTCTGCAGTGGGCAGGAGGGTGGGCTTGGCTGTGACCCCTGATGGTGACTTTACAGAGAGGCCTTTGTAGGAATCTTAACTAGACTTCGAGTTCTAAGAATCCTACACTAAGAGTTAGTGACTTTTTACTTTGGCAATATGGAGCCAACTCAAGTTTTGACCAGTAGAATAAAGAGGGACTTTGAAAAAAGATCTATTTAAATTTGATAACTCTGGCAGAGATATGCTAGATGGATTAGAGGAAAAGGTGATAAAAACATTGACTGGGGTATAAGCATTACAAGGAAAAAAGGAAGTAATATTGTTACTGTAAAACAAGTGGCTTGGTAGGTCACTTGGTGGGTATCAACCTAATGATCGTAACCAAGAAAGATTAAGTGAAAGGGATTTTACTTTTAGAAAGTAAGTAGAATACCATGGATAGTTCCTAAAGCAGTGTGTCCCTGAGGTGGAAGCTGTCTCAGGTTCTATAAGCATAGGGCAATGAGAAATGATCTCATTAAATCTTGTAATGAGGTGGTGCTGGGAGGCATCATTGGACTGAATGTCAGAGCTCAGTCTGCTTGGATCCTGGATCCTGTCATTCAGTGTATATTTGTTTGTTTTTCATTGTTATAAATGAAAACCTGAGATTGGGTAATTTATAAGAAAACAGGTTTACTTGGCTCACAGTTTTGCAGGCTGTACAAGCATGGCACCAGCATCTGCTCAGTTTCTAGTGAGACCTCAGGAAGCTTTTACTCATGGCAGAAGGCAAGGGGAAGCAGGTGTGTTACATGGCAAGAGAGGGAACAGGGGAGAAGGGAGGTGGTGCCAGGCTCTTCTTAACAACCAGATCTCTTGTAAACTCATTACCAGCCATTTTCTCTTGGAGGATGCTAAGCCATTCATGAGAGGACTCTCTCATTAGGCCCAACTATCAACATTGGGGTCACATTTTACCATGATATTTGGAGGGGACAAGCATCCAAACTATATCATTATGTCTGCTGCTTAATTCAGTCCCTGCTTCTCGGCTGAGCATTTAGGTTCTTCCTGTGGTTGTACCATTGGTTCACCTGAGTGTGCTCAGGCTATGTGACCTGAGAGTTCATGGGAACTGAAAAACAGTTCATAATCTTATTACATAAAAGTTGAACCAGATTGGTCTGGTGCTGCAATATGTTTAAGAAACTTTCAAATGAAGAATAAAGTATCTGTCTTGTTAGGGTTTGTTACCTGAAAAAACCTGGTTCCTTTGCCTGGGGAGAACAAACAACTCTTCACAAGAATGCAGGTTTTGTCTGGCTCAGTGGCTCATGCCTATAATCCCCGCACTTTGAGAGGATCACTTGAGCCTAGGAGTTCAAGACCAACCTGAGCAACATGGGAAAACTTGGTCTGTACAAATTTAAAAATTAGCTGGACGTGGTGGCACATGCCTGTAGTCCCAGCTATACAGAGGCTGAGGTGGGAGAATTACTTGAGCCCAGTGAACTGAGATCGTACCACTTAACTCCTACCTGGGCAACAGAATGAGACCCTTGTCTCAAAAAAAAAAAAACGCAGGTTTTGATCAATGGGAGTTTTATTACTAGTCACAAGTAAAGAGGGCTCTGGGAGTATTCTCCAGACCAGTGTCTTCCTGAGGAAAAGCAGCAGGAGGATTTTATGGGAAATGGAAGGGGAGAGGGTATGTCATTGGATGTAGTGAAGGGTCCCAGGGGTGCAGACACAGGTAGTGAATCATTATGCCAGCACATAGGCTTCAAGTTATGGTAGTGAAGCTGTAGTTCCTCCTGTGGTGGAGACTTTAGCATGGTAATGAGGAAAGTTTACTTGAACATCTATAAATTGCCAGGGTTTGTCAGGAGCTGTTTCCAGCTGACTAGGTGACCCCACATTCCACACAAAGTTTGGGAAAAAGCAGGCTGCAAGGCAGGAGGCTGTAAAACAGGCTGATGGCTCAAGTTGATTAAATTCTTACAGTCTCTGGAAACCCTCCTTGTCTGCTTCTAGGAAGTATAGGTGAAGGAAGTAAAGTAGTTCAAACAGCTTAAACCCAAGACAGCTTTATTTGGAGAGTTTGGCAGGAAGCACTTTAAAAGTGAGTTTAGAGTAAATAATTATTTATGAATTCCATTAATTGATAATGAAGTATTAACTACTGAGCTTAGAAGAAGTAAGGATATAAATGGACAGTTTTTGCATGATGCTGGGAGACTATATAAAAACTACTAATTCTTATCTTAATTTTTCCCCTTTTTATCAAAGCTCAGTGTAAAACAATGTTTTAAACATATAGAAAATAAAATTTTGGTGACTTCTTTTCTCAGTAACAACCACGGTTGATTTTAAAATACCACTGTATTTTAATTCGGTATTTAACACTGTATAGTCAGCATTTTTCTGAGTCCGTTCTTCAACACTATGATCATTAATAACTGTATGGTATTCTGTTTTATTAACATATCACAGTTTCGTTAACGGTTCTTAACTATTGAACATTTAGGTTATGCTTATGTTATTTCCTGTTATAAATCGTGCTAACACAAATGTCTTTGTTCATACATATTTGTGCACATAGCTAATTATTTCCTCAATAAAAATTTCTAAAATTAGAATTACTAGATCCAAAGGTGTGCTCTTTTGGAGATTCTTAATGCATATTGCCAAATTATTCTCTAATCAACATATTTTTACTGTTGACCTTTTATTAGTTTTTTTTAAAAAACAACTTCAAACCTGAAGAAGAGTTGTGAGATTAATAACAAACTTTTGTCCCTTGGATCATAAATTGCTTAGTATGCCATCACTCCCAAATACCTTACTGTGCATTTTCTACAAACAAGTACATCCTCGTACATAACCACAATACAAGCAGTAAAATTATCTCATTCTTAGCCGTCGTTCAAGATTGTCCCAGGTTTCAATAATGTCATCTGTAGCAAAAGGCATCACATTTTGTTTTATGTCTCTTTAGCTTCCTTCAGTCTGGAACAGTTCCTCCGTCTTTCTTTGACTTTTAAGACCTGACATGTTTATATTATAAGTCAGTGATTTTGTGGAATGCTCTGCAGTTTGGATTCTAGCTCAGAGTTAATATTTAGAGAAGACTCATTATGAAATAAATTTTTCCTAACTCTCCTTGATTTAACTTGAATGCTATGCAAATAATGAACAACTCACAGCCACTATTTGTCCCCAAATGAAGAATTTAGAAATAATCTTGATTGAATAAAACTCTTATAGAGTGAATATAAATGTTGTACATAAGTAGACTTTATTCTGTCATTTTAAAGAGTAATATACAATTTTAAGTCTTCAGTTTTCAGACTAATTCACAAATGAGAAAGATGAATTGAACCCGGCTATTTTCTTCTCTTTTATAGCTATTATCTTCCTAAAAAGTTCACCCAGTGTAGTATTGAAGAGTATCATGACTTTCTGAATAGTGGAGGTGGTGCCTGCCTTTTCAACAAACCTTCTAAGGTAATAAATATGGTTAATAAGGTTTACAATCTTAATTATTAACCTTTCTAAAATGTTTAAAATACTCATTTTCAGTGATTGAATCTTGTAAGAGAGCTTTTCAACTTGGCATATACATACATATTCTAGAGATGCTATATATCTGCATATTCAAAGTCAGCTTTAATGTTGAGCATTTTTGGGCTATTCTAATGAGAATAGAAAGCAGGTAGAAATAACAGTGTTTGCTGTCTGAAAATTTTCCATTTTCTTTTTATATAGCCAAGTGATGATTCAAAGTTAGTTTACAAAAATGGTTTTATTTTACTTTTCTTTTTCATTTTCTTGATGCTTATTTTTTTTGGTTACCTAATCACAACTCACACAAGTTGAACGTGGGGGCATATCTACCCTCATCACTCCCTACCTGCTCCTGACTTTCCGAATGAGCGGTATATTAAAATTTTAAGTGTTTCTCAATATGAAAAGCCAAGTCTTCTTAAAGCAGAAATGGAGAAAGTCTTGTACTTTGTCACAGGCTTTTACCACTTGCAGCGTATCCTCTGATTACTGACTAGAAAGCAGGTTTTCCTCCTGTGTTTTGAAGACTTTCCACAATAAAAAAGAATACTTTGTCCTTGTGAATTATGTGAACTAAGAAATGCTTCTGTGCACCACAGGGCTATGCACCATTGCCTTTGTGATCATTTACCTGGTTTAATTTCTGTTCACTACAGTGAAATTTTGAAAATGTATCATACTGTATTGAAAAGCAAATTGACAATTTTAAGACTCTTCAAAAGCTTGGAAAGAGAAATTTGAGCTGTATCGCTGCTGCCACAAATACTAAACAGTTCAAGTATTTTTACCAAAATAAGTGATTATTGTAAACCCAGAATAAGAGAATAAGTGTGGTTTTAATCTCAATAATTTTTTTTTTTTTTTTTTTTTTTTTTTTTTTTTTTTTTTTTTTTTTGAGACGGAGTTTCGCTCTTGTTACCCAGGCTGGAGTGCAATGGCGCGACCTCGGCTCACTGCAACCTCCGCCTCCTGGGTTCAGGCAATTCTCTTGCCTCAACCTCCTGAGTAGCTGGGATTACAGGCACGCGCCACCATGCCCAGCTAATGTTTTTTGTATTTTTAGTAGAGACGGGGTTTCACCGTGTTGACCAGGATGGCCTCGATCTCTTGACCTTGTGATCCACCCGCCTCGGCCTCCCAAAGTGCTGGGATTACAGGCTTGAGCCACCGCGCCCGGCCTTTTTTATTTGTTATTATTACTTTCAACTAAAAATGAAATAAAGACAAAAGTTGATTCATTTGTAGAAGAGAGAATATTTAAAATCAAGTGGGTTTTGTTGTTGTATATTTTATTTTGTTGTTTTTTTCCCTCTAGGTATGAAAGTGTATGTGTGTGTGTGTGTGTGTGTGTATGTCCATCTGTTTACTGGTGTGTGTACATTTTAATTCTATAATATGTAAACTTTGATTAGCTTTTGATTGAATATTATATACCTTGCATGTAACAATTATTTACTAATTTGCATATCACCATAGGATACATTATTTTCAAAAGAGAACAAAGTTGATGAAGAGCTAAACAATAAAACAGACCTAAAACATAATCTTGGACCAGTCAAAATTTGCTTCAGTCTCTGGGGCAAATTTAATTTTTGTTCTCTGCAAAACTATCTTAATAGGAGGAGCTATATTTTATGTTAAGTAGATCAATGGATATACTGTTTGATGCTTATCTCATTGTCTATGAAATAGTTTCCTGTATCAGAAGGAGATATAGTAATAAAAGGTTTTTCACAGATGACTAAACTTAATCCTCACAACAATTTTCTGATGTAGATGGACAACTAATATTATTATTATTCCTGTTTTGGATATTAAGATCTCTGAGATGTTAAGTAGTTTACTTGAGATAAGTAATTGAGCCAAGATTTTAATTTAGACATCTGACTCCAAATTCCCCACTTCTGTTTTGAAATGAATTTTCAGGAGGGAATCTGGCTTGATTTTAGTGAATGGTTAGATCATCTTTAATTTTAAAGACTTTTATCAGTCCCTATGTGGCATGTAGATACTTCTGTTCTAAAGTTCCAAGTTCTGAGGTCATGTTTTCTAGTTTAGGAAAATAAAACTATATTTTGGAATGACCGACAGGGCAGGTGTATTTGGAAATGGCACTTAAGGTCTCTCAAAGTCTTTGATGTTGAATTTTCTATATTTTAGTTCACTTTTTGGTTTTCCTCCCACAGCTTCTTGATCCTCCTGAGTGTGGCAATGGCTTCATTGAAACTGGAGAGGAGTGTGACTGTGGAACCCCAGCCGTAAGTCTCTGGTTGTTTTGTTGATATGTTCTAGGTAATTCAGGGTCATTCCAGGTCCACACACTGAGATGTATGGAACAAGTGTCATGCCTGGAAATTTTATAGAATTTGTGGAAGAAAGATTATTATTGTGAGTTTGTACATTCATTTTAGAAAACATTCTTTTACTTTCAGGAAAGTGACACCATTTTCTGATGTTTTATTTCTTAGGAATGTGTCCTTGAAGGAGCAGAGTGTTGTAAGAAATGCACCTTGACTCAAGACTCTCAATGCAGTGATGGTCTTTGCTGTAAAAAGTGCAAGGTAAATAAACATTAATGGCCATTTGACAGAAAAAAAGGATATACCTGATTAAATCCTTAAGGCTAGGTAAATATAATCTAATAACAAAAATAGTATCTATTACATATTAAATGACTAAGTGCCAGATGCTTTACAGGATCCCCACAAAAATCTTGTGAGGTGTAGTTGCTTATTATTATTCCCACCTAACAGATGAAAATACTAAGGCTAGTAGTGGTTAAGTAGTTTGCCTAAGGTCTTACACCGAGGAAGTTGGAGAACTAGGGTGTGAACCCTGTTAATCTTCAGAGGCTGTCCTTTCCATACTTCCTGTGGAGCATGCACATTAAATGAAACGAGGTGTTACTAATGTTTAAATGATGTTTAGTTTTCTTGGTGAAGTCAAGGAGAGTTTCAGTGGATCTTTTCTTGTTGCTCAGCTTGGTGTGTCTCTTGCATTAACTGCTGAGGGAGGATGGGAGTACTTTGAGACGTGATAATACCTTGCATATATTATCGTTGCAGCAAGTTTAGAATGCATCTTTACACGCTTGATGTTTTCATCCTCTCAGCAGCATCCTCATACCTATCCCCAAATATTTAAGCCTTTACATCAAGACTAACAGTAATTTGAGGCTTACTTCCCTTAAAGAAATCTGACTCTTGTTTTCTCATGTAAAATCTGGCATAATAGTCCACATTATATCTGAGGTTTAATATCTGTCTCTCACTTTACTCTTGCACATTTCGTGGAGCAGAGCCAGGCACTTAGACAGTAACTGGTATACATTCTCAGTAAATATTTGTTCAGTGAGTGAATAAATATGCACAGCACTCTCTTAGTGATAATCTGCTGATTGAGTAACTTTAGTTTAATGAGTTAAAGGAGGATGGGATATGAAACTATCATAGTAAGCATCTACTGTGTGCCAGAGATTATGTACTTTTGTATCATCTTATATCTGAATTTCTCAACTCTGGCACTATTTTTGGCTGGATAATCCTTTGTTGTAAGGTTGTATCTTGTGCATTGTAGGATATTTAGCAGTATCCCTGCATTCCACCCATTAGATGCTAGCAGCACCCCTCTTAGGCAGGAGAGCCAAAAATATCTCCATACACTGCCAAATGCTCCCTGGGAGATAAAATCACCCCTGGTTGAGACCACTGTCTGAGATAATGCTCACAAGCACACTTTTGGGATAGGCATTATTATCCTGATTTTTACAATTAAGCAATCTCAGTCTCAAGGAAGTTAAATAACCTATACAGGCTCACTCAGCCAGAAAGGAATAGATGTACAGTTACACCCCAGATCTGCTGGCAACAGCTTCTGTTGTTTCCACTGTGTCTCCTGGCAGCTTTTTAAGACAAGCAGGCACTGGCAGAGATCTCTGAAAGCACTCTGTATAAAAGAAGATTAAACCAAATGTGAAAGACATTCTTTGATTTTGGCTACCACCCCTGTTTATTCTGTCAGCTTTTTTCCACTGCCACAACATAAAATCCTGAATCGTTTATCTTAATCCTCAATGTTTTAAGTCTATCCATCTATAAAATGCATTTAATTGCACCATTTTCCCTTTGACTTATATAATTAGGCTTCCTGTGATATAATCATTTCAAGGACCAAGTAGAAAATAATACAATTAAAATACATAAAATAAAATGGCATGACTGCCATTTGTACAGTTATAGCTGTACCAGTCAAGACTCAAGAGAGATCTTTTTTGCCACTCTCTTTACCATCCTCCCCAACTCTTACCTGCCACTCCAGACTCCTATGGCAGCCAGAGGCAGGACAGTGAATGGAGGAGGGAGAATAGAAGAAAAAGATAAGAAACCATGTGTATCTCTATTTTTTCTACATGTATTTATAATGGTGTATCTATAAGCCAGCATTGGCAAACTTTTTCTATAAAGAGCCAGATAGTAAATAGTTTAGGCTTTGTGGATCATAAAGTCTCTGTTGCAGCTCAGCTCTGCCTTTGAAAGCAGCCATTGAAAATATAGAAAGAAATGGGGCATAGCTATGTTTTCAGTAAAACTTTATTTATAAAGATAGGCAGCCACTTTAGTTTGACCCTTGGGCCACAGTTTGCAGACCACTGCTGTTAAAGAGTGCTTGTTTACTTGTTTATTACTTTTCTTTTTCCATTATAATACAAGTTCCAGTAGGGCAAGGATTTTGGTTGATTTATTTACTGCTGTATCCTAGTACTTAGTGCAAATTCCCGCTCACTATTCTTTCTTTTATAAGTTTCCTGGAAATTCTTGAACATTTTTCACTCCTCTAAACTGCCCCAAATTTGCTCATATTTCTACCCTAGATATTCTAAAATGGTGGCTTCCCTCAGTCCCAGGGAAGAAGAGAAACATGTGAAATTAAATTTTTTTATTTCTTTATTTTTAACCGACATTAAGATGTAAGTTCCTTATGAGCAGGGAAGGTTCTTGGGTTTTGTTCTCCATTGAGTTCCCAGTGGTTAGAGCAGTGCTTTGCACATTATTAAATACTTGATGAATGGATGAATGAATACATATTTTGTTTGGATCTCCTGAAAAAAATACTAGCTGAAATCCAGATTGGAGTTTATGTGGGTAGTGTATGTTCTAGGAACAGTGAGAGACTCAAATGCCTGTAGGGTTCTGAGCAGCTAGAGAAGATAAAACTTATCTAGAAAGTGGGGGAAACAGAATAACATGTGCCTTTGTGTGAGCAGAGACAAACCATGTAAGGATCCAGCCCTGAATGCTACCATTTTGGAGAGGGAAAAAAGAGGGATTGAGGAGGGAAGGGAAGTACTTTAGCTATATATCTCTGGTCTGTTTTGTTTTGGTGAGTACTCTTGTAATTCACATTTTTAACCTAATGAAGTTAAAAATTTATTTATACAATTCTCACACTTGCAAGAAATATTTGAGGTGATGGAAAACAGAAAAATGAAAGTGCCTATACACAGGCATAAATAATAGAAACACTAGAAAAGAATAAAAGACTGAGCTGTAAATCCATGTAAAAATAAGGCAGGAGAGAAGGGAAGAAGAAGCATGGGAGGAAATAGCTTTGCCAGAAAATCTAATTTTTATTATTCGACCCAAAATGTAATTTTTAAATTGTTGATAGATAAGGCAAAAAAAAGAATCATGTGATGAAAGTGTCAGTGAGAATGAAGGATAAAGGGTAAATTCAAAAGCTATGTGTACAGAAAAATTACTAGAACTTGGACTAACTGATTTGTCTTGTGGAATTTAGCAGTATAGTATAAGGCTCATGTGTCATGACTATGGAAATTTCATCCACACAAGAAACTGTTTCTTAAAACTATTAAATTTTTTTTTAGTAACTGTGGTTTTCACAGATAATCATCTTAGAATAATTTAAGGTATTTCTAGCCAAACAATTTTCATTTTGCTTTCTTTAGATGATACTGTAAGATGTCTTTTTTTTCTTTTCTACAGTTTCACACATTGATTTTTGTTCATTTTAGTTCCAGCCTGTGGGCACTGTGTGCCGAGAAGCAGTAAATGATTGTGATATTCGTGAAACATGCTCAGGAAATTCAAGCCAGGTAATTTACAAAATAACTGCTCTAAACCCTACAGGAAAAAGTGGAGGTATCCTTAGCATACTGTCCCTCAAAGAGAAATGTAAATGAACAAGATGCTCATGTCTCTTTCACATTACTTCTCACCGTCTTTCCACTTTTTTAGGAATTTCAGTTTCAGTGATTGAAGCTTTGAAGCTTGAACAGATGCTGAACATAATTTTTGTCTTAATGTTGAACTAACCTCAGACTGCATACATGCCTTAACTATTTTGTTTTTGTATTAAGTAGGCACTTTCTTTTCATTTACTTAGTAAAAGAAGAAACAAAAAAAATTCTTTCTCTTCAGCTGATTGAAACAGGAGTCAGCGGAGGCAAGGACCCACAAGCACATTGGATTCTTAGAGAGGATTCCTTCTCTTGACTCCTCTCTGACACAGCTTGCATCGCCATTAATAGCTGCTTTTGAATTTTATAGCACTTAGTTATAAATTAGACAAGCTAAATCAATTGAATAAACTTTGGCGGGGGTTCACAGATTTCAAAATGGTCAGTGTACCTACAGGCAGTCCTCACTTTGAAGGGTCGTGCCAAACCATAAAAATGACATTAAAAGTTGTTTTAATAATCAGAAATATATTGAAGTTGTTTTACAATTTTCAAAAAATGCTGTCAAACTATTAAAAACTCTCTTACTGTTGGTTTTAAATGCATAGGGAGGTGAAAGAATAATATTTATTTAGCATACTGAACATTAAAAGAGAAACACTGAAAATTAAAAGATTTGTTTCCTTTGTAAAAAGCTTACCGGGGTAGTTTGAATAGAGATTGCGTTCTTCTTACAGGCTTTATGATAGAGAGTGAGCATCTTTTCAGTGCCTTGTTGAGCTGTCACACTCCTTTCTACTTTGGATCAACTTTCAACATTTTATTCTTTGTGCTTTCAATGTCATGAGATACCCCGAGAGATGTGAAGATATGAATGTGAAGTTTCTTGCTGACAGTACCCCCTCAGGGCAGTTGTCACCTATATGTCATAGTCACCTTATTCACCAATGTCATTAAGTCCTCCTTCACCAAGTTCCTTTGGGGTGCTGCATGTCTAGAGGCTCTTGAATGGCAGTATCAACATTCCCACAGTCAGCTATTTTTTTCTATAACTCCATTTATAAGTTCAATTTGTATTTGACTTCTATTGTCATCAATTTTCTTTGCTGCACTTCCAACTCTATTGGCCAGTTTCCTTTCTTGATATTCCATTTTTGCAAAATGGCACATGGTATCACTGGAAGACAAAGAGGCAACACAACTGCGCGATTTGCTCTTGGTTTATACTCATTCAAGAGTGCCTTATAATTTTTTATAATTGCTTCAAAAAAGGATTATAAAGTGTGTTCTTTTCTGACATTCTTAAAGTAGACTTCAGCTTGAAAGCCATTATTTTATGTATAAGAGCTATGTTTTTTCTCATGGCAAAAGAAAGGAAACTGTAGTTATTACTCCATCTATGCAGACCTACTCTTTACTTTTGTCCCCTTTCTTGCTCTGAAAAATAGTTTATCTCTATGAATCAAGATGCTTTTAAATGTATCATTAATTGAGTGTATTGTAGTCAGTTCTTTAATTTTTTATTTTTCTTAACCAAATACCCAGACTTCAAGGACATACGCTTGTTTTCTCTTGACCTCCTTTGCATCTTATTTTTAGATGGTATAAGGTACTAGCAATATTATCAAATGTGTTTTTAAAAGTGAAAACATGAAAGGGATTAGCTCATCCATTTATTTTGCACTGTATTTGATTAATTGTTTGTTCTCTTTTTTCCTAGTGTGCCCCTAATATTCATAAAATGGATGGATATTCATGTGATGGTGTTCAGGTAGGTCACTTCATTTTTGCCTAAATTTTTCATGTGTACCAGCATAAAAGAAATTCTGAAATCTTGTCAAAATAGGAAGATCAGTTTAAATGTTTGTAATCAATTCTGAAGATAAAAGGTCTGCTCTTCATCTATTATTTTTCCAGATCATAGTTTCTTTTTCAGTTATCTGACGTAAGCAGACATTGCATTGCTAATGGGTATTTGCTTTTCCATTTTAGGGAATTTGCTTTGGAGGAAGATGTAAAACCAGGGATAGACAATGCAAATACATCTGGGGGCAAAGTAAGTAAATAGTGTGGCTTGATCAGTGTTAAAGTATGATATCAGGCAGACTTCTCAAGGACAAGTGTGCTGAAAGTAAATTTTTGACCACTTTATGACTGAGGGATTCTCAAAGCAGGGGGATGTTTCTGGAAATTAGAGGAAGGCACCACTTTGAGAAGACAGTCCAGCACATCTTGGCTAGTTGGCAGTGCCTGTAGACGAGACAGAAAGTGCCTTTGCTGCCGGGCAGATGAACCCCATGCCAGGGCACACAGCTTGGAGAATAGAGCAGACCTGGATTTCAGCTCCATGTATACTCTTCTCAGCTGAGTGCCCTGAAGCCAAAGCTGCGGAACCATATGGGATGGACATGGACCCTGGACAGGACATCCTTGATTTAGAACAGCAGCATGTCTGCTTAAGGTGGCTTTGCTGTATCAGAAAGAAATGTTAATGTTTTAGGCTTTAAAGTCTGTCAGATTTTCAAAGGACAATATATAACATTTATATTTAAATTATACTCTATTTTAATGTATATTTAATATATTGTTGTCTAGAAGTGTTACTAGCCCAAACTTTTGGAAGCAGTTTTTGTTTTAAACTGATCAATTTGTAACTATAAACTGTTTCAGGATACAAAATAACGATAATTCTTAATTGCCATAAGTAGGTGCCACAATCCTTTTAGGAGGGGAAGTGTATGCTCTCTTTAAGCAATTGGAAACATTGGGATGGGAAAACATATAGTCAGGCAGGTTTGTACTCTGAAAAAAGGTATCATTTTTGTTTTATCCACTTGAGCAAAAAGAGTAACTGACAACAAGAAGTAGGAAAAGAAACTACCATCATAACTAGTTGGTTTTTTTAAAAAAATATATACCAACAATTATTCTTTGATTAGTTCGAATTTTGTCCTAATTCTTAGATTACTCTATCAACCATCCCTGGCTTTAGAAGAGATAAAAGCCTGGACAAGATACTGACATACGTTAAAATGTTATTTGACTTTCAGAGACTTAGCATGAATTCAAGTTTGTCTTAACGCAAAGTAAAATTGCTTTTGATAGCTGCTAAGAAGTGGTGAGCAAGGTAAAAATTGTACCACTGTTTCTTGAATCTAATTATAGGATATAGCTATTTAAATAAACTTGTCTTTATGATTAATAAAATATGCTAAATGAGAAATTCATGTATTATATTTAGTATTGAGATTAAAGAATGGAGAATATATTCAAGGAACTATTTGGTATTGCCCTCCCCTAATTATTGGACAAATTCTAAGGAATGTTTGTTTTTGTAGCCTGCAGCCTGAAACCCAACAGAGATCTGAATATATTTGTTTTCTAAATTTCAAATGAGCTTTAATGAAAATGTATTTGAGTGTTGGATATCTACAATCCAGGGTACAGTTGCGAACCATTGGTAACATTTTTGGAATTGATAACACTAGTGATGAAGAGTCCTTATATTACAATTTTCCTTTTTTTTGCAAAGATTTTGAGCAGTCAAATGTTACTTTCCTCACTGAACAATTTTTTTCTGCCTCAGAGGTGACAGCATCAGACAAATACTGCTATGAGAAACTGAATATTGAAGGAACAGAGAAGGGTAACTGTGGGAAAGACAAAGACACGTGGATACAGTGCAACAAACGGTGAGGTGGAGAAGTCAGCCCAGAATTCATCCCCTGGTCAATTCCAAGTACACTTTTTAGAGTGACTGGGAAGTTTGTTTTGTGCATCATACAAAGTGTGCTCTTGCCTCCTTAACCTCATCTCTTCCCAGTGTTGCAGCATCACCTATGCAGAGGGCTTCCGAATCTTGATATGTGTACTTACTTTTCTCCTAAGGCCCAGGTCATACTTGCAGCTACCTCAGAATTTTCTTACCTAGAAGACACCTTTCAGCATCTCAAAAGCAACAGAACATAAAGCCACCAGAATATGTACTCAGTGCTACTGAATTGAATTAACTGGCTCTAACTTTGCCAAACCACCCTTTTTTTTTTTTGATAAAGGTCTCAATATTTCACTGCCCTGTCTAGAAGCCTTAAAGTGATCCTTGACGTGCTACCTTCCCTCTGCATGTTGTCCGAATGCCAAATTAAGTCCATTCTTCCCTTTGCTTTGCCACCATTTGTCTTTAATTTATGTATTCATTTACCTGCCTGTTGCCATTACCTGAACTAAGACCTATATTAATCCTTCAACTATTATAGAATTCTCTTAACAGTTTTCTATGCCAGGATTCCCTAGTGCACCACTATCAGAATAATCTTTTGGATCTTTTTTACTGTCAATACTTTGTTGAAATTTCACTGCTTCCACGTGGCTAATTAATGGTGAGAATAGGACCCAGCATTGATCGAGCGAACACTGTGTGCTAAGCACTGTATCACACTTTATATAAGCTATGCCGTTTAATCTTTATGGCAGTCCTCCCATTTTATGGAGAAGGAAACTGAGACACAGTTAATTTGCCCAAAGTCGTGTATATGGGACATAATAATAAGCAGAATTAGAATCTGGAGAGTATGATTTCAAAACTCTCCCTTTACCACTTTGCTGAATGTCATAGTCTTGTTAACAAATTAAATGGAACCTTAGCTTGACACTGTACCTATTCCACAATTTTCCCCAACCTACACTTTTTGTCATTTCATTTATATTGTTCCAAATCTAGCGAACCTTACCATTCCTAATATGTGTACCTCCATGTCTACATTTATGCTATTTGTTTCTCCAGAAATGCCCTTTAACTCATACCATCACCAGTTAAAAATATATCTATTCCTCAAAGCCCAGCTAGGAAAACACTTTATATAAATTCCTTTCTGATTTACTCTAGAAATAAATCATCTCTGTCTTCTGTGAACTCCCATAGCCCTTTGTATTTATTTGGCTCTAATTTTGTTTTATGTTGTTTATGTGTGTGATATATCATCTCATCTAGAGTATAATTTTCTTGTGGATAAAAATAATACCGAATTTTCTTTATATATTCTAAATTACTTAGGTTTATATACATAAATGCCATTCAGAAAATTTTGAACGAATATCTCTTCTCTGTTGAGAAAGCATTTTTGTTTATGATAGATATAGTACAATGATGACATAATTTTAAAAAGCATTTTTAAAGAAAGATGTAATACATTCTTTTCTATGTTGGTGAAAAATATAGGTTCTAATTTTTCTTTTTCTCCATCTGATAAAGTCTGATATTTTCATATACAATCTTTCAAACTTACTAATTAATCTTCACAAGATATTTAAAAATATGTTTATTGTTATCTCTACTAATAATTAAAATGTGTTGGCTATAAATAATATGTAAGATTGTATTAACACCAGTAAAGATATTTCATAAGTTAAATTAGTATCATGTGTAGCAGTTGGGAAAGTAGTAAAATATATTGAAGAAAGGATAATGAGCCTTTGTAGTTGACAATCAATAAAATATATGCAGTCTATAGTTTCTTCTTTAATTCTAGGGCAACATGTTGAAAAAAAATCTGTATTCCAAAAGAATGCTCATACAAATATCATTCAGTTACCATTTTAAAAAAAAAAAAAAATTGGCTGAGCACAGTGTCTCATGCCTGTAACCCAGTGCTTTGGGAGGTTGAGGAGGGAAGTTCCTGCTTCGGATCAGGAATTCAAGACCAGCCTGGGCAATGTAGTGAGACTCTGTCTCTGTGAAAAATTTATAAGTTAGTTGGGTATAGTAGCCTATACCTGTGGTCCCAGCTATCTGGGAGGCCAAGGCAGGAGGATCACTTGAATTCAGGAGTTTGAGGCTGCAGTGAGCCATGATCACCCTACTACACTCCAATCTGACCTGAACAACAGAGTAAGACCCTGACTCTAGGGGTAAAAGAAGAAGAAGAAGAAGAAGAAATAGATGACGATATCCAGTATTGTCTTAGGGGAAGAGAGGTATCAATATAAAAGAAGCCTATTTGATCAATTCTTTAAATACTTGAACTAACAGACAGTAAAGAAAAAGCTACAAAACAATTGGGATTTTGGTGCACCAATAAGAGTTTCAGAGAAGACACTTTTAGAGCAGGTGGCACGCTAATTTGGACTTAATTCATTTTGCTTTACATATGAGTAGATAATGTACTTGATGAAAATGAAATGCTAGAATGAGAGATGATCATTCTAACTGTATATGGTTTGCTATATCTTTGGGAAAAGAAGTAATTGGTAATCTTTTGACACAGGGATGTGCTTTGTGGTTACCTTTTGTGTACCAATATTGGTAATATCCCAAGGCTTGGAGAACTCGATGGTGAAATCACATCTACTTTAGTTGTGCAGCAAGGAAGAACATTAAACTGCAGGTAATCATCTAACCATTCTGTAACAACCTGAGTCATCTTATTTCTCAGGAATGCAGTTTAGGATTCCTTCTGTTTTCAATTCATGTATATGTTAGTAGGTCAAAATATGATCTAGTTCATAGAGGTGATTGAGTAAATCCTGACAGAGAAGAGATAAAGAGAAGACAAAAAAATAGTTGAATGAAGAATATTATGTGATTACTAGAGTTAGGCTTAGATTGGTCAGTAAAGTCTTACAGAGTTTGGTTTCCATTTAATTCTTATTAAGGAAAATGAGGACTCTGGGTAAAATCAACATATTAAATATATGCATCTACTTTTGCTCCCTTATGAAATCCCACTAAAATGATACCAAATTGATCTTTTTAAAAAGTTCATATATCCACAGGGAGGCATAGAAAGAGAGAAGAGACAATAACAACAATATTTTGTTATGTATAAAGCAAATGAATGTGTGGCACATGGCTTATCGAAGCTGAGAAAGCTGAATTCCGGAGTCAGTAATTAGGAAAACTGAGAATCAATCCAAGATACATCTCACTTCCACACAGGCTCAGAAATTGGCAGCATCATCTACTTTAGGAAGAGGGAGGGAAGGCGTGGAGGAAAGGAGCTGAAATACAGAAAATAGATGAAAGCAGTTAGATACACAGATTACTTCCCCCAACTCAGCTAACCTGGGGATTTCCCTCCCATGGAAGACTGGAAATTTATACTCTATAGAGAATAAAAGAGGAAGCTTCTAAACTGGAGGACAGCAAGCAGTATTTATATCAGTATTGTATGGAAGTAGTCCAACCTTAATGGGACCAATTTCCAGTCATCTGTTTGGCTTCCTGACTCAAATATATGTAGGTTATCAGAAATGTGAAGAAAAGTCTGTAACATGAAAAAAAGGAGACAAAAACAATGAGACAATGAAGGGGAAAAAATAAAACCACTTATCAATATTTATGAGAGATAAGACTTCTATAATGAAACAAGAAAATAGGGTCCTGTTTTTTTTTTTTAAAAAAAAAGAGAACATTCAGAAAGAAAAAACATAGTAGTTGAAATTCCAGAAAGTAAACTAAAAAAGGAAAAGAAATGGAATATATTAATGGAAAAGAAAATCTGAACATATTAGACAGAGGAAACAGCAAGGAGGAAATTTTCAATGAATAAATCAAGAGAATGGTCTAGAAATAAAGGACTGGAGTTTCCATATTAACGGGCTCTCCAAGTGCTGAATACAATGAGTGAAATTAGAGGTACATCTAAACATATCATTATGAAATTTTAGAACCTTAGGACAAAGCAAAGAATTCTAAAAGTTTCCAGAGAGGAGAAAAAAATCAGACTTAAGAATTAAAATGGTTTAGGATTTAGCAACAGGAGCCCTGGGAGTCAGAAGACAATAGAGAAAATTATTTCCAAACTAGAATTTTGTACTCTGGCAAAATATCAATCAAGTGTGAGGGTAGAAAATAAAGACCTGTTTAGTTATGCTACGAATTTCTCAGGAAGGTACTGGAAATTGCACTCTACTAAAACAAAGTAAATCAAGAAAGAAAAAGGCAGGGAATATAGGAAACAAGATACCACAAGGAGAGACAGGGCAATCCCCAAGTTGATAGGGAGATGAAAGTCAAGATTTGCATTGCTATGAAACCGGCTCATGATTTACATTGCTATGAAACCGGCACAATCAGAACAGATAAGAGCAGGCCAGAAACTCCAGGAGACTTTCATAAGTAACAGAAGAATGAATTAAGAGTAGAAGGTGGTTTTCTCTCAGGAGGAGTATCTGGAAGAATATTTAGAGAGGCAGAGAACTGCTTTATTGTGTTTAAAAACGGTTTATCTGTTGATTATTTAAACTGTGTCCATATGTAATTTTGATAAAAATAAATGAAGTGACTGGGGATTGAATGTAAATGGACTAAATGCCCCATTTAAAAGGACCAGAGTGACAAGCTGGATAAAAATAAGACCCCATGGTATGCTATCTTCAAGAGACCCATCTCATATGCAGTGACACCTGTGGATTCAAAATGAAGGGAAGGGGAAAAATTTCCAAGCAAATGGAAATCAGAAAAAGCAGGGGTTGTAATCCTAGTCTCTGAAAAAAAAAAAAAAAAAAAAAAAAAAAAAAAAAAAAAAAAAAAAAAAAAAAAAAAAAAAAAACAGGGGTTACAATACTAATTTCAGACAAAACATACTTCAAACCAGCAAAGATATAAAAAGACAAAGAAGGACATTATGTAATGGCAGAGGGTCCAATTCAGCAAGAAGAGCTAACCATCCTAAATATATATGCACCCTACACAGGGCACCCAGATTCATCAAGCAAGTTCTTAAAGACCTACAAAGAGACTTAAACTCCCACACAAACACAGTGGGAGACTTTAACACTTCACTGCTGGTATTAGATAGATCATCAAGGCAGAAAATTAACAAAGATATTCAATACCTGAACTCAATATTGGACCAAATGGATCTGATAGACCTCTATAGAACTTTCCACCTAAAAACAGCACAGTATATTTTCTTCTCATCATCACCCATACTCTAAAATTAGATAAAATATGTCCACACAATTGGACATAAAACAATCCTCAGCAGGTGCAAGATAACCGAAATCATACCAAACGTACCCTTGGACCACAGCACAATAAAAATAGCAATCAAGACTAAAAATTTCTCAAAACCATGCAATACATAGAAATTAAACAACCTACTCCTGAAATGACTTTTGGGTAAATAATGAAATTAAGGCAGAAATCAAGAAGTTCTTTAAAACTAATGAGAAGAAAGATATAACATACCAGAATCTCTGGGACACAGCTAAGTTAGTGTTAAGAGGTCAATTTATACCCTAAATGCCCACATCAAAAAGTTAGAAAGATCTCAAATTAACAACCTAACATCACAATTAAAAGAACTAGAGAAGCAAGAACAAACCAACCCCATAGCTAGCAGAAGACAAGAAATAACCAAAATCAGAGCTGACCTGAAGGAGACTGAGATGTGAAAAGCCAAGTAAAATATCAAATCTGAGTTTATTTTTTGAAAAAAGTAATAAGAAAATCCACTAGCTAGACTAATGAAGAAAAGAGAGAAGATCCAAATAAATACAATCAGAAATTACAAAGGAGATGTTACCACTGACCCCACAGAAATACAGACAATCATCAGAGACTACTATGAACACCTCTGGCACACAAACTAGAAAACCTAAAAGAGGCTGGGTGCGGTGGTTCATGCCTGTAATCAATCCCAGCACTTTGGGAGGCTGAGGTGCGCGGATCACTTGTGGTTGGGAGTTCGAGACCAGCCTGACCAACATAGAGAAACATCTCTACTAAAAATACAAAAATAGCCAGGCATGGTGGCACATGCCTGTAATCCCAGTGACTCAAGAGGCTGAGGCAGGAGAATCACTTGAACCCAGGAGGCGGAGGTTGCGGTGAGCTGAGATAGTACCATTGCACTCCAGCCTGGGCAACAAGAGCAAAACTCCATCTCAAAAAAAAAAAAATAAAAGTAGAAAAAAACCTAGAACAGATGGACAAATTCCTGGATGCGTGCACACTCCCAAGACTGAACCAGGAAGAAGTTGATTTCCTGAACAGACCAATAACAAGCTCCAAAATTGAATCAGTAATAAATAGCCTACCAACCAAAAAAAGGCCAAGACCAAAACAGATTCACAGCCAAATTCTACCAGATGTACAAAGAGGATGTACTATTCCTACTGAAACTATTCCATAAAATTGAGGGACTCCTCTCTATTTCATTCTATGAGGCCGGTATCATCCTCATACGAAAACTTGGCAGAGACACAACAAAAAATAAAATTTCAGCCCAATATTCTTGATGAACATTGATTCAAAAATCCTCAACAAAACACTTGCAAACCAAATTGAGTAGCACATCAAAAAGCACGTCCACCATAATCGAGTAGATTTTATTCCCAGGATCCAAGTTTGGTTCAACATACGCAAATCAATAAATATGATTTATTACGTAAACAGAACTAAAGACAAAAATCACATGATTATGCAAGAAAGGGTTTTGATAAAATCCAACATCCTTTCATGCTAAAAACTCTCAATAAGCTAGGTATTAAAGGAACATACCTCCAAATAAGAGTTATCTGTGACAAACCCATAGCCAACATTATACTGAATGGACAAAAGCTGGAAGCATTCTCCTTGAAAACTTAACAGGGCAAAGATGTCCTCTCTCACACACCTATTCAACATAGTATTTGAAGTCCTGGCCAGAGCAATTAGGCAAGAGTAAGAAATAAAGGACATCCAAATAGGAAGAGAGGAAGTCAAACTTTTGCTCTTTGCTGATGGCGTGATTCTATATCTAGAAAACCCCATAGTCTCGACCTAAAAGCGCTTTCAACTGATTAACAACTTCAGCAAAGTTTTAGGATACAAAATCAGGTTATAGAAATCACTAGCATTCCTATACACCAACAACAGCCAAGCTGAGAGCCAAATCAGAAATGCAATCCCATTCACAATTGCCATAAAAATAATAAAATGCCTAGGAATACAGCGAGTCAAGGAAGTGAAAAATCTCTGCAATGACAATTACAAAAACACTAATCAAAGAAATGAGAGATGCCACAAACAAATGGAAAAACATTCTATGCTTATAAATCAGAAGAATCAATATTATTCAAATGTTCATACTGCCCAAAGCAATTTACAGATTCAATGCTATTGCTATTAAATTATCAGTGACATTCTTCACAGAACTAGAAAAAAACTTAAAATTCACAGGGACTAAAAAGCTGGAGACATCATGTTACTCAACTTCAAAGTATTCTACAGGGCTACAGTAACCAAAACAACACAGTACTGGTACAAAAACAGGTATGTAGACCAATGGAACAGAATAGAGAGCCCAGAAATAAAGTAGCACATCCATAACCACCTGATCTTTGATAAAGCTGACAAAAACAAGTAATAGAGAAAGGACTTCCTATTCAATAGTGCTGGGATAACTGGCTAGCCATATGCAGAGGATTGAAACTGGACCCCTTCCTTATACTGTATACCAAAATCAATTCAAAATAGATGAAAGACTTAAATATACAACTTAAAACTATAAAAACCCTGGAAGACAACATAGGCCATACTATTTTGTGCATAAGAATAGTCAAAGATTTCATGATGACACCTAAAGCAATCACAACAAAAAAGCAAAAATTGACAAATGGAATCTAATTAAAGTGCTTCTGCACAGCAAAAGTAACTATCAACAGGATAAACAGCCTACAGAATGGGAAAAAATCTTTGCAAACTATGCATTTGACAAAGGTCTAATATCTAGCATCTGTAAGGAACTTAACTTTACAAGAAAAAACAACCTCATTATAAAGTGGGCAGAGGACGTGCACAGACACTTCAAAAGAAGACATCCATGTGGTCAACAAGCATATGAATAAAAAGCTCAATATCACTGATCATTAGAGAAACCACAATAAGATGCTATCTCACACCAGTCAGAATAGTTATTATTAAAAAGTCAAAAAATAGCATGCTGATGAGGTTGCAAGGGGGAACATTTACACACCTTTGGTACGAGTATAAATTAGTTTAACCACTGTGGAGAGCAGTGGGGCAATTCCTCAAAGACCTAAAAACAAATACCATTCCACCCAGCAATCCTGTGGGTGTATACTCAAAGGAATGTAAATCATTCTATCATAAAGATACACACACGTATGTTCATTGCAGCACTGTTCACAGTCACAAAGACATGGAATCAACCTAAATGCCCATCAGTGGCAGACTGGATAAAGAAAATGTGGAACATATGTATACACCATGGAATACTATGCAGCCTTAAAAAAAGAGCAAGATTATGTCCTTCACAGGGACATGGATGGAGCTGGAGGCCATCATCCTTAGCAAACTAACACAGGAACAGAAAATCAAATACATGTTCTCACTTATAAGTGGGAGCTAAATATTGAGAACATATGGACACAAAGAGGGAAGCAACAGATACTGGGGCCTAGTTGAGGTATGTGATGAGGAGGAGTGAGTAAGAAAAAATAACTATTGAGTACTAGGCTTAGTAGCTGGGTGATGAAATAATCTGCACAACAAACCCTCATGACATGAGTTTACCTATATAACAATCCTGCACATGTACCCCTGAACATAGAATATAAGTTAAAAGAATGGGGAATTTTATAGTAGCAATGATATGGCATCATATGAATAAATTATGAATATATATTTTCAATTCTTACCGTGGTTTTAAAAAACATTTCTAATTAATATGCAGGTTTGCTATATTGAATGACTAAATAATAGTTTAGTCATTCCCAAAAATAACTGATACATATGCAATCTTTTTGGGCATACCAAAACCAATTCTCATCCTTGTCTGAAACACACTTCAAATCTTGAAACCTGCTTATCAAATTACATACTACTAATAATGTCTTATTTTACTTTTGTAGCCCAGATGAAATGATAAAGCTGTTTCAATTCAGGGCCCAGTTATAGTAATTATGTTTAAATCCTAAACTATATCAATTTCTCCAAAAGGAATTAGATCTAAAGATTCAATGGCTTTCTCTGAGATTGAGCTGGCTTATGCTACTAGTTTTTATTAAATAATCAATATAATAAAGGAAGTGATATTGCCTACTTTTAAGTTTTTGAGCATGTTTTCAAAATGAATGTAAATTAATAGACTCATTTTTTGCTCTCAATTTGTTTTTAGTGGTGGGCATGTTAAGCTTGAAGAAGATGTAGATCTTGGCTATGTGGAAGATGGGACACCTTGTGGCCCCCAAATGATGTGCTTAGAACACAGGTGTCTTCCAGTGGCTTCTTTCAACTTTAGCACTTGCTTGAGCAGTAAAGAAGGCACTATTTGCTCAGGAAATGGAGTAAGTATCCAGTACCTTCTCGGGAACTATTTCTTTTATATCACAGAAGCAGATATGGCCCTAAACTATTTATTTCCTTAATTATGGAAAACATGATTGATTATTCATATTTCTAGCTGGTATGTAAACACTAATTTAATTATGCCTATTTGAATATTTCTGTTATATAATCTAAGAAAGCCTGAGAATAAAGAAAAGGATAATTTTTCTAACCAAATTCTTACATCCTTCTTTTTTATCTGCCAACTTTTTACAAGTGAACTAGGAGATAAATTTTAACAAACTATAATGGGATTTTAGGAAAGAGAATAAAAATTAGATGTAATGGCCACAGTGTTTAACAACTGATGTGGTATAGGCACTGACAAATCTGAACAGACTATTAATAACTACTGTAGCCACACCAGTGTGTACAAGCTGAGGATAACCCCTAGAAATAAAAACAGAATAACTTAGGGAAATGTTTCTTACAGATGAATGGAAAAAAATGGTATTTGAAACACTTTTAATTCTATTCTTTCATTTATATGTCAGATAATGTATATCCTGTACAGGTAAGTTTCCAGGTTAAATATTCATTCTCTACTAATGATAAAGTTTTCTCATTTCCAATTGGGAATTCCAATACTACCAAAAATATTTTTGATCTATTTCTTTCAGCATGCGCTGTGACATTCTTTTTATCTTTGTTCAAGATTCTTTGCTTGAACTGTTGTATTATTCAGTTAAGACAAAGGATTCCTGTTTTGGGATTGTAAGCCTTCAATTCTGGTCATTCCATGCATATCTTCAGGGATATGCCAAGAATTTATTCAGGGAAGTAACTAATTGTTCCTTCTTGCCAAAGCATAGGAATTCTTATGGCATATAAGAGTAGAACATACATGTACTGAGTAGCTCTGCTCCTGTGAAGGGGTCATGACCTGAGTAGCTCTGCTCTTGTGAAGGGGTCATGTACTGAGTAGCTCTGCTCCTGTGAAGGGGTCTTCCAAGTCTTCTTTCCTTAATCTTTAAGAAGATGTTAGGGAGAAATACTTTTAGGGGATCAGAGGAAAAGAATAATGGAATTTTTCATGATAATCCATGCTAATGAATAATCATATCTTATCTATCTTAAGATTCTGAAACAAAACACAAGAGACCAAACATAATTGTGCTTAGTAACCATTTGTTTAATTAATTAGTGGAAGAATAACCAATGCAAGTAAATCAGATGACAAATTAGCATTCAGATAATTTAAAACAATTATGCATAATATATAAATGCATAATATAATTATGTATTCACGATAATTATACATAATTATATTTGAGGAATTTTAACTTACAGCAACTCAACTCTGTATTTGTGACAAAAAAATTAATACAAGAAAAATTAATACAAGTATTCTTTATGTACTGTGTATTATGTATTTAAGAGTGTGGGCTTGAAATCATATGGCCTGGGTTTGAATCTCAACTCTGCTTTTTACTAGCTGGGTAACATTGGGCAAATTTCATAGACTTTGTGACTCAATTTCTTTCTCTGTAAAATGGAGATAATAATAGTGCCTGCTTTAAAGGATTGTGCAAAGAATGAGTTAACTTATAAAGCACTTAAAACAAGCCTGGGATGTGGTAAGTGTAATAAATGTAAGCTATGCTATTTATTATTATTACCGTACCCTGGCATCACTGTCTGTTCTTGTCACTATGTCATTGATACCTGACATATGACAGCAACTGATACTTAAAGAAGCCAAGTGACTTGATTAAGTTCCCTTAGCAAGATAGGAGTGATATGGTGACTCAAATCCAGGCCTTTTAATTTTAAGCCTAAACGTTTTTCTTTCTGCCTATTTGTTAATCTGTAGCTCTTAGTGAAGCTGGATTATAGTTACATTTGGATGTAGATGTATGTTGTGTTCCTGAAAATTAGATCAGACAAGACGGAAACCCCTGTAGTGAAAACTTGTCTCAGGAGGAACTTAGCTCATCTGAAACCTAACTTAACTCTCTCCTGATTCTCTATTCAAAGTTGTTTTGAATTAGATTTAGGTGTATATTCTGTTTCCTGAGTGGACTAATGGAGAGAGTTTATTTTCCTATAATATAAAAAAAATGGTGTCAATTTTATGTGAATCTTTTTTTCTATACTCTGTTTGTGGGAGTTCCTTGACCCTGACATAGCTAATATCTACAGCATGGATTGAGGTGCCAAGATTACAGCCTTGTGAAACTTACTTCTCAGACCTCTGCAAAACATCAGGTCTCCCCTCTTCATCAGACTTTTATCTCATTTTGCGTCCTAAAAAATGAATAACATTTTTGCATAAAGATGCCTACTAAGGAAGCAAAGAAACCTTTGTATTAGATAACTGACAGATTGTTGTATGTCTGCTTAGTTTTTAAAATCTTCCTCATAAAATTTAAGTTAATGAAATTCAAAACAATAATTTCTTTGATTTTTTTTTTTTTTATAGACAGAGATGAATTTCTCTTGAAATTCATCGTTCCCTTTGGGTCAGTTGTTGGTCTCTAGGAAACATTTGTTTGAGGTACTGGAGGGTGAAATAATGTAATTAGTATTAGGAAGAACATACTAATAATTTTTCAGAATTATCAAATTCTAAGCATATAATAGTAAGAAATTAGTGTTTATTTTTCATGCCTCTGTACCAGAGAGTTGACATTTACTCTAGCTTGATTTTGGATTTCAGGTTTGCAGTAATGAGCTGAAGTGTGTTTGTAACAGACACTGGATAGGTTCTGACTGCAACACTTACTTCCCTCATAATGATGATGCAAAGACTGGTATCACTCTGTCTGGCAATGGTAAGTACTTAATTTGGTAACATCATGTAGTCTATACACAAAGACAGAGAAAACTGCTCTCTGAACACTTTTACCTGAGTTATTGTTATGATAATCAAACATCTTCATAATAATGAATTATACAACTGGGGTCCATTTTGTGAAACTGATTATGTCCATTAAATTATAATGATATGTAATATTATGTAAACTTAGTCTATTTAATTTAGCCTTATCTTGACCTACTTTATTCTGAGATTTTTCAAGTATTATACTTGTCTGAGGCTGTCAATAAACTATAACATTTCTTTTTTTTTTTTTTTTTTGAGATGGGGTTTTTCTTTTTTTTTTCTTTTTGGAGTGCAATGGCGCGATCTCGGCTCGCCACAACCTCCGCCTCCTGGGTTCAGGCAATTCTCCTGCCTCAGCCTCCTGAGTAGCTGGGATTACAGGCACACACCACCATGCCCAGCTGATTTTTTGTATTTTTAGTAGAGACGGGGTTTCACCATGTTGACCAGGATGGTCTCGATCTCTTGACTTTGTGATCCACCCGCCTCGCCCTCCCAAAGTGCTGGGATTACAGGCGTGAGCCACTGCGCCCAGCCTAACATTTCTTTTAAATTAAGAAAGTAGTCATAACTCGTAACTGAATTTAAAGGAAGAGTTTTAAATTTTTGAACTGAATAAAAGAATTAATTGATTTTAAAATATTTTAATATTGTTTATTATAGAATCTCATTGTTGTTCAACCCTAGTTCTGTAGCCTGAACTAGAAGCAGTAGTCCTGGCCAAGGTTCCTGGAGGGGTTTTAAGGACATGAATAAGAAATAACAGATGCAGTCCTAAAAACTAGGGTGGCCCAAGTGGGGTTATAGAAACTGTATGCAGATGGTTGAAAGAACTAATACATTGTAGGTAAATGTCCCTTTTTACACTATTTCACCATTTTATTATTGAGTATTCTTTTACACAATATAATGCTCAAATCTCGAAGTTCATTCTAATAATTCGGAAAGGTAAACAGTCTTAGCTAATGTGACTTTTATAGAGAAAATCGTAGGATGACTAAGATTTTAGAGTGCCAGCCTTAGCAGTGGTAGTGTGGAGCTTGTTCCAGTAGTTAATTCAGACAATAATATTTAGGTACATGGATTTAAGTGACTTGTCAAAACCATACCCATTACTTAGAAATAAATAAGATTAACATCTAAGTTTATTGATCCCTGTTAAGCCCCTGGAAGAAAAGGAAGGGAGGACAGACATGCTAGGTCTTGTAGTAAGAAAATCCTAGTGACCCAAGGGATCTTCTGGTAGCTGCATCTGTGCATCCCACAGAGGACCTGACAGGTTGGAGTCCACCAGTCTGCTCAGATGTCCTAGCCCTGCTGTCTGATATGACTTCTGAGGACTCCCAGACAGAGGCTGCCACTACTGTCATGGAGAATTGAAATCTCAAGTAGCCCATGACTCCTGACCTTTGATGTGTAAAAGGATGCCTCAGCAATGGAGCAGGCAAAGATGGATCTAAGCTGCTCTGGATGAAAGCTCTGCATTTAACCATGTGGCATAAATCATTATCAGCAAAGCAGGCCTTCTGGTGTCAGAGCCACACCTCATTCAGATCAGCCTTTTCTGCCTTTGAGCCCTCCCTTGAGCTTATTGACCAAGACTTTGACTCATGGTGCCATTCTGCTGTGATGATCCTCTAAAAGGTTATATCTCAGCCTGCCTGACAATGGATACTGGTACAACAATGCCATCACTGTGTCTAGGCTTCAACCCTGCCCTGGATTCTGCCTGCCTGTCCCTCTGCCAGTGTGGTACCGCCTCCCTCTCCTGCCACATCAGCTTCTATCCTCCAGCTCACTCAACTCTTTTTTTTCCTTTGGGTTTTCCTTCTCTAGAATGCCACAGCCATCATTGCCCAGACTGGGAATTACAAGCCCAGTGTTTATCATCTACACCACCTGGGCAGTAATCACAGAAGTCTGTGGACATGTTTTCTCCCTTAAGAAGCTCATATTCACTTTGAGAGACAAAATATAACACACACACATACACACACACTCACACAACTAAAGAGCAATAAGGACCTTGCTTTAGTTGTCAAAATGGAGTGATATGCACAATAACATTTCTGGAATTTCTGAGAGAAAGAGGTAAGGATCAAAAGGAATACAGATTTTCTACAAGCTCCTCCCTAGGTATCATTACTCTTCCCTCTTTTAGTTTAATTACATCATGTTTTCTGGAAAATACAACTGTGCAAAATGTACTTGGACAAGAATTAAAAAGGACATACACCAAATACTATTTTTAAAACAACTGATGTGGGTTGCTGAATTATGGTTGATTTTTCTTTCCTTTGAAATATACCTATTTTTGAAAACAGTGTTGTTCATGTGATGATTACAAATCTGAACAATAAAGTTTCTGAAAGGATTTTATACCACTGATCTTCCTTCTTTCTTTTTTTCCTCTCAGGTGTTGCTGGCACCAATATCATAATAGGCATAATTGCTGGCACCATTTTAGTGCTGGCCCTCATATTAGGAATAACTGCGTGGGGTTATAAGTAAGTGAAATGTCTCAGTCTTGTTATTATCAAAATATATTTCTGAACATTTTGATTATATGAAAACATCTAGAAAGTTTTGTTTCATTGGTTGAATATACTTGCAATGCAAATCAGTCTGGCTTAGCAGCCAGTCGGTGCTTGTTCTTGGCATGGTGAGGGGTGATAAGAACATCATTTCTTAGATTTCCAGACAACTTCCTTCCATTGTAAAAGGACTAGGTATTATTTTAAAATCATTGCAGTGAATTGAAATCAGTCTAAATTTTTTAAAACTTTTAAGTTGTAACTTTTAAAGAGAATTTGATAGCCTTAAACATTTTGCTCAGTAAATGCCTTCAAACATTGTAAACTTATCTATTAAATGCATTCAATTTCCTTTTTATGATTTATGTAATCTGAAAAGAAACCAGAGTATTCAATTTCCTTTTTAAGTACTTCAGCCTTATGATGTGAAAAATTGCCTTGTATTCAAATAACTAACTTAAGTTTAATAAGTTAAAACTTAAATATAGTGAACCTTAAGTGTTCTTTAATATTTCAACTTAAAATAGTATTCTGCTGATCCTCGTTGATGATGTTCCAACCCACAGACCTGGGGTTTTTCTTCATTTGGAAGGCCTGCAGCTTGTGCTGGGCATTCTGGGCATTACCTCATTTCATAGCACATTTTTCCCTATGGACCAAACTTAGACTAACTCAAAGTTTTGGGAATTAGAATCAAAAGTTTAGACTTTTTCCCCAAACTTTTTGATAGACTCAGCTTTGTTCTGTGAGTTAACATATGTCGAACACTCAAAGTAGTACCTGGCCCACAGTAAGCCCTGTGTAATTGTTTGCCTTTATTATCACTTAACATGGTCTTAAACCAATGGCACCAAAGGAAACACCTTTATAGTATACATGGTAATTGCTTGTGAGGTCAAAACAATGAAAGACTTTTTTAGCTGAAAAGGGAGAGCAGTTAGTTTACTGCCAGGATAAGATTTGCACACTACAAGCATTAATAATATAGGCATTTGTGGAAGACTATATATAATGAGTAGCACAGACAGCATAGTACAGTTTGGCATAATGTGGTTGACATGACATCATAGTGAAGGAGAGCACAGCGTCCTAGTGAGCTTTTCGCTGATTAAGTAAACACCTAGCCCTGTACCATATAGTTTTCCACAAATGCCTGTATTATTAATGCTTGTAGCATACAAAACTTATCCTGGCAGTAAACTAATTGCTCTCTCTTTTCAGCTAAATAAACTCTTTCATGGTTTTGACCTCACAAGCAATTTCCATATATACTTAAAAAGGTGTTTCCTTTGGTGCAGTTGATTTAAGACCATGTTAGGTGATAATCATAAGTTCATGATGGATGCTTACAAACTATGGACCTCTTTGGTGTGCAGGTTACTAGGTATATTTCACTTAGATTCACACCTCAACATAACGTTTGGAATTATGAAATCATATATCTCATAGGAAGGCTTTTCTGTTTGTCATTTGATTTCTCCTTGCACCACAAGCAAATTAGCTGTATGTTGGAGTCACACCATTCCTCAGACTTAATCCATGATTTAAGTAATAATTGCCATCACAAACATTGTTGTTTTGAAGTAGCTCAGTGGTTTCATTTGGTTATGTGAAAAAGGAAAGAAAAAATTTTTCATTCTGGAGTGTGTGATTTTCTGCCACCTAGTGATGGAAGTGGATATTTCACTTGTACAATCTTGGAAAACCTACCTTTTAGAAATTTAAACACTCCTATTACTTATTAGATTATGTGTCTATTTGCTTTTATTGATTAGAATGAAAGGCACCTTTTCTGTATGTGATTTCTTATTTTTATAGCATTCTTTTGAGGTTTTTTCATTTCTGAATATATGCACTTTGCAACTTAAGGAAAAAGACAAACCTTGTGCATACTGCAGTATCCTCTTTATAAATAAGTAGTCCAAATACCTAAAGTTTTAGTATTTCTAAAATTATTCAGAATATATTTAGAAATAGAATGGGAATGTAGACATTTTAGTAGAGGAATTAAATTCATGAATATCATGTTTTACTTATTCTATTTGGAATTTAAAACCAGATTTAGAACCTGAGAACTCATTTTCTCATTAGTCTGTTCATTTAAACTTTCTAGCCTTTCCCCATGCCTTGGGGTGGAGAACAGCAGGAACAAAAAATGTAGAATCCTCGTTTGTAACTGTATGGCTTGGGAAATCAGACTGAGGGAATAAAAAGCAAAACATGTTGAAAAGAAAGATACTAGGCTTATTTTTTCCCCATCTGATCGTTTCCAGAATTAAAAATAATAGCAAATTGTCACCTTTGCCCTCATGTGCCTGTTATCAAACATGATACTTATAATGTGGATGAAATAGACTGGCAAGTAATGATGTTATCAGTGAAATCCATATGAAAACATTATGCTTGATCTTAGAGGAAGCAGCTCAAAACTACTCAGTTGTATGACCTTTCTAACATGTCTCCAAAATATTAACACTTAATTTTATCAAGATATAAAGTTAGCAACGAACTCTTGAAAAGTCACTGGTACTGCACTACCACACCCTTTAGAGTAATTTTTTAATAAGATCCACTTAGTTGGAAAGGTATTTAAGTTGATTTTAGTTTATGGTTAGATAAACACAGAGACTAAACATCGAAAAAGTATTTCCAATGTGAAGCTTCAGCGAATAAGTAGTAATTACTTAGGAGATCCTTAACTGCCATGAATTAACTCACTCCTGTTTATCATACCTGATGAAGTAGGATGTTCTGGTATTCACTTATATCCTCCTTTTTGAAATTCTTATGAATAAGTATAGTTTGGGGTTTGTATTCCATTAGGAATGAATTATGATTTTATTTTTCTGTGAAAATATTTATATAAGTAACTTGATTCATTAATTTCATTATTTAAATTAATATATGCCTGAAGACCTGTATTTGAAATAAGTTTTACTTTAGAGCAGTGATTGATGTTGAGAAAACAGTTACTCTTTAATGACCGCAACATATTTATGTTTTAAAAATGGATAGTTGTTAGACAACGCTGTCACTCTGTCACCTCTCTTAATGATGAGGTGACATTTTTGTGTATGCATTCCCCATTTTAATTCTGTAATTTGAAATCCTCTAGTGAAGACTTTTCAATGAAAGCTAGAGCTTTTATGTTTAGTGCTTCCTCTTGATGTCCTTCCAGAGGTAACTAACTCTTGTGTTTCTCCCCTCTCTCTTCTTGTCCATGAAAAGAAACTATCGAGAACAGAGGTATGTGATAAAAATAATGTGAACATATAATTGGAAGGTTTGACTCATATTAGCATTGTGGGAATTCATACCTGCAATTATAATTAAGTTCACTTTGTTTTTATGCCACAGTGATCATACACTGTGATTTTTTCATTATCTTGAGATAACTTTAACGATGGTGCTGTGAAATATGGTAATTTAAAATAGATCTGGCATTTAATTTTAATGGTTCGTTTATCCAATAGTACTAAAATTAGTGGAGATTCTTGCTTTTTTACAAATAGTAATATATATAGAAATTGATTTTTTTTTCCATCTAAAACAAACTTCCTCTATGTTAAGGTGCCACATTTGTTTGCATTAATATTAGCTTTTCTTCATGTTTATAATACTCCTGTTGCTTAATACTTTCTGAAGGAATTTATTTGTTACTCTTATTATATTAATAATGTCTATTCATAAATGACAAAGTTTGTTTGGGCAGTGTTGCTGTTGGGAATGCTCTAGCATTTGATGAGCCTGTTTATCTCTGCCTAAGGAATTTTTTTGTATTGATTAGGTAATCAAACATTTAAAGAAAGAATTTTCATAGTTGGAATCTCTGATAGTCTTGTGTATTCTTTTTTAATAAAAATGCCTAATTCTTGAGAAAGTCAGACACCCTGTATAGCATAACCTTAAAAATCTATGTTTAACCAACAGTTTTGATAGACTGTTGGTTAAAAAGAGATACAAAGCATTCATCCTGTTCTATAACAATTGCCTATCTGAATCTAAATTAGCGCACGCTTCACTTTTCACACTTAAAAAGTTGCTAGTGCTGTTAGCTACTGATAAAAAATACTAAAATATTATCCTAGAAACTGATAACCTAGACCAGGTCTTACACATGATATGGTATTTAGTTCTATACTCATGGTATTTATACAGATTCCTATTTATTTAACCTTTTCCATTGTGGAATCGCATCCCTGTGATAGCTTATCAATAAGCTGTATAAATCTGGTAATTTGTCATGCTCCATCACAACTTTCATTTTTTTCACAAATCAAAATTTTAAACTTTGCTCTTTTTAAAAATAAATTAAAATTCCCATAAGGCTTTAACCGTAAGTATCTATAGAATCTGTATAAATATATGGTGCCCATGGGTTACCATTCGAAATCCTGGTCAGTTTGTGTAGACAACAGAAAATATTAACCTTGCCCTAAAGTGACTAACTCATCATTAACGGAAAAAGTAAAACTGGGACAAAATTACATTTTAAAAACAACCAGATTTCTTCGTTACATGTTTTAAACTCTCGTGTTCGAAAACACTTGAATAGATCAGGAGCCGCCGTTTAGGCTTTCTGTTGGGTAGAAGTTGATTGGTAGTATTGGAAATCTAAGTTTGGTGACTTTCTTTAGTGGAAAATAGAATTAGGCAAATCAGATTAAAAAGATTAATGATTCAGCTTCATTTCCCAGGAGCTAAGGCTATAATGTAATTTAATATTGCTGAATATATGAAAAAGAAAGTGAAATGTCTCATATGTAACATAAGCAAAGCTAGCACAGTGCTCTAAGATGTGTTCTCATTAGCGATTCTACTAGAATAAGGGAATTGCTCACACTTTAAAAAAATGATTAATATTGAAAAGTATGCACAAATTTTTTATTCTAACTCAATATGTACAGAGATATAGTTAAGAACATTTTCACATGAAGAATCTCCTTTATGTGCCTGATATAATTTCATGTCTCTTGGTGTTACTGAGTCTTCATTTCATTGATCTGGCTACTCTTTTGGAATCTAGCCTATCATATTTTGAGAGTTGTCACATCTTCAGTGGATATTTATTTTACATATTTTGATATATGTCAATATGACCCTTTTTTTGTCCTTGGCCATAACTACTGAATACTAGGTTTGTATTCATTAGTCTCAAAATGGAGAAATGGCAAAGAATAGACTTTAGATCAGGAAGTAGTGAATGTATAAGTGTTTTCTAAATGATTTTCCTTTTTGAGAATATATGTTAGTGATTACAGAGAAAGTGGTAAGGCCAGCAGACCAAAGCATGCATTAAAAACTGTTCAGTCCTGTGAAGATCTTCCCAATTCCAAAAGATATCAGGAAGTAAAATTAAGAATTTTGAGTTGTTATTGCTTTTAAATTACGTTTTTCTTTGAGGTTCTATGGTAGGGAAACCAATCTACAAGGAATCAGAAATCTACTAGTATGTGGTATTGGAAAATCAAACTTTCCTCAACTCCGAAATCAAGTAAGGTTTATTGCAATCTGCAAAGCATTTTGGTGAAGGGAAATTATTAGTATGTGGTCTTGGAAGACTGTGTTTCTCTAATCTTTGAATGAATGAGGTCAATATAGTTGCTCTCAAAGAGGAAGGCAGCATTCATTGACACGAGTGAGGCTCACATATACTGGTTAAGGTGGTGACAATGTTGGTGAATGTAACTTTTGCTTTGACACTAAGTGCAAGACATAATAAGTACAATAGCCAGTTATCAGATTTTTAATACTGTTACAATGGCTCAGAAGTGCCAAACTGGGCATAGCTTTCCTATTCCTAGAGAGGACAGGCAAGTAATTCTGTGACTGAGTTTCATAACCAGATACATTTTCTCTCCTGAGAATGGGTCCTCAAGGTTTTCAGTATAGAGAAGTATTATATTGTATGTTTACTTGCAAGTTTGATAAAAAGGTGAGAAGCAAACCCATTTTTTCTTTTTGTTCACAAACTTCATAATAAAAAGAAACCTGAAGCTCCATTCAGGGGCATAGTAAAGGCAGAACTCCACGTATGTACAACATCACTTTAAATCTCATGTGTCTTGTGATGGGCAGAATTATGGAACCAGGGAGCCACAGCCTTAGATATTAGGTAATTAGAAGGATGGTTATATTTATCCTTTTATATAAAATATTCAGGAAAGAAAACTGCTCCAGTTTTTTCAGTTGATATTACTATTTATATTGTAGCACAATTGCTTTAGGACTTAGAAGCTATATGACTGGTAATGGGAATTATAAGTGGGTTTCAGTTTTTAGAGTAAGTTTGCACATAGCAATAGAATAAGAAACATTAACTGAACTTAGATATATAAAACATCCATATTTAGCTGAAATCTTGTTCTGTTCCTTTGAGATGAACACACACCATTATGATTGATGAGAAATAGAAAAAATAATTAGATTATATCTTTTTGATCTATGATTTTACTTTAAACAGAATCTCCTCCCCTGCCCCATTCTTTTGTCTCTCACCTCTTTTAGCCATTTTATTTTATGCTTGTGAACTTCCTATCTTTTTTCCAAACCTTTCTTAGTTTGTTTTTATATTATTGTTATTCTTTCGGTGATATTCCTGCATATGTCAATGTGACTTGGCACACATTATACAGTATTTCTTAAAACAGTAAAATATCAATTCCAGTAAGTGACAGTCCAAATGCCAGCCAAGCATTGGAGAAATGCATCCTTCAGCATTAAAGTTAAAAGTTGGTTAAATGGTTTTCCCCCAACATTCTAAGTATGCATAAGAATTATTAAGATAAATATAATTCAAGGGATGCTTTTAGGAAATATTAGACTTCTCTCATAACAGCACCAATTTGCCTAAAGGTTTTGGGGTGATCAAGAAACGGTCTTACTTCATGTTTAAATTTAGAATGTTAACATAACAACTAGATGATTTATAATTATGAACACATTAAGAGTTGTTTTCTGAAGTGGAATAAGAATAAGCAAGCAATAAGCATAGTATTGTAGACCTGGAGAGAAATGATTGTATAAATTAGCTCCTCTAGAATCATTAATTTATAGGGGTTGGTCTTTACCTTAGAAAATAGGGAATACCTTCAAAAGAATGTTACTTAATGGGATGCATCAATTCAAAACACCAAATGAAATGCCAAAGTTGTACAGAGGAGAAAAAGACAACATGTAATTAATGTAGGGAGAGATACGTTTTGAGGGGGAAAAAAAAACTAGTTACATATTGTTTATTTTATTTTGGCTATTGTCCGCTAAAAAATCATGCATGTCTAAAATATTTGCATATAATATGAGTAATATGAGGTAATTTTCCCATTATAAAATTCAGCACTAATCAGGCCACCTAATGTGGTGATCACTTTTAGTTTCCAAAATTTGGTGAAATAAGGAAGCATTCAAGATTTAGGAATAAAGCCATAAAGATAATAAAGGACTGGAAAAAGAAGTTTGATTTAAAAATTTAAAAGGATCATTTAGCCATTTATATCTTTCTCAACAAATGATTTTGAAAATTTATTTTATTTATCATGGGGACTTGATAGTCTCTATTAAAGCAAAAAGAATTAGATTGGTTATAATATGCAATTAGTAATTGTAAAAAGGACAAATTTCTAGACAATGAAGGATGTTAAACATTCATTTTTTTTTGAGATGGAGTCTCACTCTGTCGCTCAGGCTGGAGTACAGTGGCACGATCTTGGCTCACTGCAACCTCCGCCTCCCGGGTTCAAGTGATTCTCCTGCCTCATCCTCCTGAGTAGCTGAGATTACAGGCATGCACCACCACACCTGGCTAAGTTTTTTGTATTTTTGGTAGAGATGAGGTTTCACCATGTTGGTCAGGCTGGTCTCGAACTCCTGACCTCGTGATCCGCCCTGCTCGGCCTCCCAAAAACATTATTCTTAAGAGATCTTTAACAAAATTCATAACCTATTGTTGACATTTACCATATGAAGAAAGTTACATTCACTCCTCATGTAATGTGATGGAAAAGGCAGCAATTTTCTGTCTTTTGGAGGCTTTGCAATGACATAGATAAGAATCTGATCTGCTTGATGTAATAAAAAGAAGATGGTGCTCCCGAAGTACATTGAACTGAAACTCCCTTCCAACCCCTTGACTGAAACCCACAGTTTATGACATATTTAGCATTTAGGATGTTTTGGCACTGTGTAAAAAATGACTGTGGACTACAGAGAAGTTACATTGAAGGGGTAGTTAAGATGTGTTCAGTTAAAAACACGAAACAAAACTGGTCCCCATCGACTGTGAAAGATAGTCCCTCTACATCTGCAGTGTCAGCTAAGTGAGGCCTTGGTAATTGCCAGGATAAATGCCTGAAGGCCAGCCAGACTCATGTAAAGAGAAGGTGATTTGGGGGATAGAATACTGGGAATGGCCAAGTGTAGTTCAGAGCTCGTGTATAATGGCTTTTCTTTATTTTTATTTATTTTTTGAGACAGAGTCTCGCTCTGTTGCCCAGGCTGGATGCAGTGGCACAACCTCGGCTCACTGCAGTCTCTGCCTCCCAGGTTCAAGAGATTCTTGTGCCTCAGCGCAAGTAGCTGGGATTACAGCTGTGTGTGCCACCACACCTGGCTAATTTTGGTATTTATTGTAGATACGGAGTTTTACCATGTTGGCCAGGCTAGTCTCCAACTCCTGACCTCACGTTATCTGCCCATCTTGGCTTCCCAAATTGCTGGGATTGTAGGCATGAGCCACTGCACCCAGTTTAGTCTTTAATTAATTTGAATTTGGTGCGGCATATCTCATCAGTTTATAAAGATTATTAGTGAAGATAGTTAACCATAAAGATTATTACTGGAAATGCAGTGTTCATGGGATTCTTTTACAAATATTGAAATAATACAAAAGGGAAGTTTTCTCCCCAAGGCAAAAATATAGAACTCTGATTTTATTGAGATCATTTTTTTTGGCACTAACAGAATATTTTACTGATAAATAGAATGTTTTACTGTAAAAATCGAAAATATTACCAAGATCTCTTACAGGGGAAGATATATCAGATGTCATGTAACAGTATAAATATGAGATTTTATATTATTTTTCCTGTAGAATTAATGTTTTATAATATACTGAGGAAGAGAAAAAGTAATAGGAGCTACAGTTATTTATAGAATTAAAAATATATTGGAAGAATCTATATCAAATAATTATAGGTGGAATTAGTCCTACATTACTAATTTTGTGAGAAATTCTACTTTCTTTAGTTAACATAAAGGGGAGTAGATTAAATCACACAAGTTAAAATATATGCTTCATACCAATTGGAAAATATTTTTCAGATTCACAGTCATGTGTAACTAAATAGCATTCAAATGATATGACAGAGTATTCAATCATTCAAGAGAATGCACGACCAAGTATTTTAAACATTTACAACAATATGGCGATAATTTAAGCAAGCAAACACCTCAAAATGGCATTTTGGTGGGATTAAATTTAGCATCAGCAAATAATCAAAATTGTAATGGTAAATAAGGAGAAACCAAATAGGAAAAAGAAAAGTTATCAAATTTGTGCTTTTGTTAGAGATTTAATTAAGCATAGGTTTGTTAAAAATTCTCAGTCCAGCACTAGTTTGTGGCACCTCCAACAATAGTACTGAATAGAAATGGATCAAGTTTTGGATGCAGTTGGCTATTTGGAGGCTACACCACTGACAAGTGACCAGATTAGCTATTGCAGGAGGGTTCTCTGGGGGCCTTATCTAAAAGTTTCTATCTGATTACCTTAGGAGAAGTAAGAAAAATCTGTCCCAATCTTAGTTTATTGAAAATCAGATGAGTTGGGTCAATAACAGTGCAGATTAAATACATTTTCACTTGGGCACTCCTACTACAGTAGAGATGGAGAACTGAGGTCACCAGCTACCTATATATCCGCTTCTATAATCTCAACAAAAATTCAGTTATTCTTTTCAGCCTTTTCTTTCTCTTGCTAAATTATCTTCCTTCACATATTCCACTGAACAGTTAAATTATCTTTTTGATTCAGCTTTGAATCTTTCCATATCTTCATATTTCTGTTAAATGAATAATGAAGCTCTAAATTGAACATCAAACTCTAATAGGGACTTATTTGGATTAAATTCTAGAATAGCTTAAAAGTCAGTCAGTTTCTTTTTAGATCAAATCCAGGTTACATTATGTAATGTTCAGAAATTTTAAATAGTTTATTCACTACAATGAAAAAAAAAACTGTGCTTAATCTGAGTGGGGACTGTCTGTCCTAACACACCTTCAACATCAATTTTTTTTTTAAAGACAAAACTGCACTTAACATTTTCAAGTGTAATGAAGTTACTATGAAAACACTCATATTTTCATATCTTTTCCCCAAAGCAAAGCTTTATTCATCCAAATGATAAAGGCTTTTGTAATTGCATTTCTGGCCTCTACAGTTAGAATGACTTTAACTTGTCTCATTTATTGATAATTTTATGTGTTGTGATAGATTTGATTCATGTAGATCATTATCCCTACCTCTCTTTTTTCCTGAAATAATATTTGTATATGTCTGTGTTCATGTGTGTGTCTTGTTTTCTGACTCTGAAATGTTTATTATGCCTTAGACAGTTACCCCAGGGAGATTATGTAAAAAAGCCTGGAGATGGTGACTCTTTTTATAGCGACATTCCTCCCGGAGTCAGCACAAACTCAGCATCTAGTTCTAAGAAGAGGTCTGCTTTTCTGTCGCATTTTCAGATTTCTACCTGTTCCATCACACATTATTCCATTAGTCAGAACATTTCATTATTTTGCAGCAGGTTTGATTACTTCTTCCTTCTTTCTTGAATGTTAAAAAATAGTATCCTTTGTTCTTTGATTACTCTACTTCAAAATGCCATATGCTCAGAACCACTCTTTATACAAATCAGGCCACAAAATCAAAATAAAGCAAACCAACCAATAACTCTGAATCTCTATTGAAACCTCAGGGTTTTTTAGTCTTGCTACTTATGGCTTAAGAAACTATACATAGTATTTAGTAATATTTAAATGGTGAGCTTTATGTCATGTTTGGTAGTCAAAGAAAAAGGTTACTGTCATGCTTCAATAAAAGCAATTGTTAAATAAATTGGTAATATAAGTGCTGCATTGAATATTTTTTAATTTTACATATATCAAAGCTAAGCTCGCTATGAAACAAAGATTGCTTCTCTGTGAATCATATATTGAGTATTATGATTTTGCCTTTTTTGGGGGATGATTATTTCTAGACTTTATACGTTACAATTCAGTTGACAAATTAAGTATGCTTAATTTTGTCTGAGTTTTATAATGGTACAGATGGGATTAATATATTATTTATATGCCTTAAATGCTAATGCTATATTCTTATTCTAGCATCTTAAGGTGTATGACACCTTTTAAAATTCTGCATGCTTTGTAACTGCTTAATAAAATAAATAAACAGAATAAATAAATAGTTGGCATGTTTTAGGAAATGAGACCTATATTCACATTGAAGGAAACAAAAATATTCTTGTGGAAGAATCTCTTTATTTAAAGTTGCCAATAAGAGTATAATGGTTAGGAAAAACATTTGATAGCCTTGCTCATGCCTTTGGGCACATTAGCTACTTTGCAGAATGAAGGAGAAGTTGCTAGTTTATTGAGAGGAAACATGACCTGTTCTGGAGTTCTTTGTAGAGTGGATCATCTGTAAATATTCTGCAATGGCTCTCAGTCTTTGTAAATGTTAGTCAACAAGGAGAATAGAAGGAATTAGTGAGACCTGGGAACTCTACTTTATGTGGAACTTTCTTAAGCATGAAGGATAGCTTTCACTTAGATAACGTAGCTTAAAGCAAAAGTAGAAACACTAGTTGTTGCCAAAGGAGTATGGTCCTACAGAAGAATGTTTTTAAAAATGTATTCTTTTAATTTATGGAGGGCTTGTTGGCTAAGAGAAGACGACTAGGGATCTACTTGAATTCTCTCATACAAATATTGTCTTGATAGAATATTAAATTTTAAATTTAGTAAATTAGTGGATAAATTAATGAGTTCCAGCAGAATTTCTGTTATTCCTTTGTACAAAATATGAGTCATTCTGTGAGTAGCAAATGATGTTGAGAAATTCCAGCCTAGGGAATTTATATGGAATAGCTGTGCTGAGTTCCATTTATTTTCACTCATCAGTAGAAGGCTTCTTTTAAAATAGACATTATTAACAATTAACCAGAATAATATGTGGAAAAGAGTTTTAAGTATAGTGCTATTTTCTAAAGTACCTAAAAAAGAGTTTAAAATTTCAATTTAAATAATTCCCAGATTTTAGAATAATCTCAGTGGGTTATGATTCTTAAGCAGTTGAAAGTTGTTAAGCCTTCTCTGAAGTATATGTAGCTTGTCAAAATTCTTGTGTGGTACCTGGTAGGTATGTAAATTTTGCTTCTTGTAGATAATTTATTTAAAGATGGTAGGTCACAAATAGCAGGAGGGCTCGATGGTACATGGGCTTTGTGAGAGACACTGTCATGATAAACATCTGAGTCAGTTCAGTTATTGAACAATTTGCCAACATGTACTACACTTTTTTGGACCATATTTGTAGAGAAAAATGCCAATTCTTAGAAAATAATTTTATTACTTAAGAAAATCTAAATAATTCTTTGATAAAGGTTAACCAGGTTCACTTGAGCAAATCTTTATGTAATCTCTTGGAAGTCCATGTTCTCATAATATTTGAATGGAAACCATTGCTTTACAATTAAGAAACATCTATGGTGGGACCCCATTATAACGCTGCTGCTGGGGTTATGCTGAAATGCATAGTGAATTTGCGCTGTGGTTGCTGCGTTCTGGGGAATGTAAATTGGCTTGCATTGTGTTTTAATACTTTTCATTTATATACTATTGTAATGGGGTTCCATTGTATTTGACTTTTCTTAAATTGGATGTTGTGTAATTCTGCCTTCTTCATGAAAGACTTTCATGTTCTCTTCATTCTTTCATTTCAGATTTTTTCTTTCTTGATTTATTTTATTTAATGCACAGTAATGCTTAGAAGTTTTGCTTACTGATCTCTGAATACTCATTTGGTTACATTTTTGAACAATTTACCAATATTTTCAATTTCAGGTCAAATGGGCTCTCTCATTCTTGGAGTGAAAGGATTCCAGACACAAAACATATTTCAGACATCTGTGAAAATGGGCGACCTCGAAGTAACTCTTGGCAAGGTAGAGGCTGGCATTCTGAATCTGTCTGTCTACACAATCAAGTTCTATATTCTGTAGCCCCTGGTTGTAAAGACTTATTTCTTGAAAGTTCTTTAGCTCTTCTCCCAACAGAGAGGAGAATATGTAGAATGAGAGTCTAGTTTTTTATTATCTGGATGGGAAATGATAGAATTTGGTAGCACCAGGACACTAGACACATTTGAGAAAGCTGCACAGGGTAACAAACCCAGTGTTCCACGGTGGTGCTCCTTATAAATTATACCCACTTGAAATGCCTCATAATTAGATATAGGATAATCACTTATTTACATGGAAATCTAGCTCTAAACCATCTTTTTCAGGTAACCTGGGAGGCAACAAAAAGAAAATCAGAGGCAAAAGATTTAGACCTCGGTCTAATTCAACTGAGTAAGTCTGAACCTCTAATGGAAAAAGGCCCTCCAAGGTCCTGTGCAATTAGTGTCAAAAGTAAATTACACAGATAGTCAAAGAACTGTAAACCATGTCTCCGGTCTTGGTTTTGTCTTTTAAATTCTTTTTTGCCCTTTAAAAATTAACCATGGCTTTTCTCTTTTACATAGACATCTCCACAACTGTGCCCATGCCAATATTCATTGATAGTGGGGGGTCTCACCCTTGCTGCAGGCTTTTCTCTCCAGTCACCTGCCATTGTGGGGTCTTGGTTCTGTATGAAGGGAATTTGATAACATTCCTTTCTTCTCATCATCTGGGATTCAACCATTTCAAAGGGTCACTCTTCCTCTCCCCAATACTCACATAGCCTGTAAGCATCAGGGAAAAATTCCCGTTGTATGAGAGCATGATACTGCTCATGATCTGAAATCACCACTATGAGGTCTTCATGGCTGCAATCTAAGCGTTCTCTCAGACTAATGGAATAAGTTTTCCTTTTAAGTTTTCTATCCTATCTGAGAACGTTTAAAAGGGCATTTTCCCAAACTTGCTCTTTAACTGAATCATTGTCACTAAAGGCAATATTATCTGTTTTAAATGATAGCCATGTATTTATTTTAAGAGGGGTGGGTTTGGAAGTCACATTAAAAGTCATTTATAGTGAAGTAGATAATGTACTTTTTTGTTTGTTTATCCACTTAAGAAAGTAAAAGCAAAACAAAACCTCCTCAAATCTTTATCTCCCTTCATGGAATGAAACTCATCGTTCGTATCCTTTTGGACTGACTTGCTACCTGATTTTTATTACCCATACTTTTTTTTATCCTTCCTAAAATTTTTCACTTATTTCTCACTGTAGTGATAGTTATTATTTCCAGGATCTCTATTGCTTCTTCATGCCTTAATACTTGGAAAGTCTGAATAGCAGGTATTTGTAAACTGCTTGTCAAAAACTTATGTTAGCTTTTCCATCATATACCCTGCCTTTTTCAGTCCAGGAATAATAATATTGCTCTGAAATTTGGACCTTCCACCTGAATAGTATTGTCTTGTAAGTGGCTTGTCAGCGTTTACTAGAGGATACTTTATAGATACAATAGACAATTTCAAGTGATACCATTGCATGGTCCAGAATGGCGTCATAGAATTCCATCATAAATAACTAATGTGTTAGAGTTTATCTTACACATTCCCAAAGCACTTGGATGCTTTAGGGCTCATTGTTGATAAACTCTTCTTGGAATGTTGTTTGGTTTGTTTTGCATGAGGTCACCTAGTAAGAGCTCCTTAACTTATCTTAGTTGCTCACAGGAGTACAGATAAAATTGCAAAATGTTCTTTAGAACTTCCTTGTGTACTGTTTAGTGTTCTAACAGCATTTCCTATAACAAGGCTTCAAAAACTCCTAAGTTTAAAAAAATAATCAGCATTATGTTAAAGCTGTAAGTTTAGGACCGAAAGTACATTTGGTGTTTAACAATATTCATACAATGTTTTCTAGAGCAGTTACTTATTTTTTAAGATGTTATATATAATTTTCACTCATATCGTATGATTAAAAATTGTAATACGATAGATAGCCTTTAAGAAATCTTGCCTATGAGATAATTAAATTATAATATTTAATATGTCATTATAATAGGATCGTCTTTGTGAGGGAGAATTAAGGACTCCCTCAGATTTTTCATACTTTTCTGATTTTGGTTACATGACTCATGTTAATTAAATGGATCCAAGTCTGTGAAGCTGACCACAATTCTCACATACCTTCTTGCACAGGAACTGTCTCTCTCTATATATAAATATATCTATATATATTTACACACACACACACACACACACACACACACACACACACACACACACATATTCTTACAAGGATTCCTGATAGGGAGCATATCAAGAATTATGTTGGCAAACTTTTAATACTTTTCGTATATAAGTAATCTCATTTGCTTCTGATAGTATAATATCATTTGTTTGACGGCATGAGGAGCAGAATGACCACAGACTAATATATCTTTTATTTTTTCAAATAAGAGGTATTTCAGGTCCATTACTCAGCATTCCCTTTAGTACCTCATTATTCCAAAAGATGAAAAATTGGAACATGAATTAAAACATGCACTATAAATGCATGCTCTGCTAATTAAGACAATAAAATGTCCTCATTTATTGTATTGTTTTTCCAGTCAAAACTTTTGAATCTTCCTCATTGTTGTACATGATGTAAAAATTTTTTTTGGCTTAGACTTTGTATTATATATTGTGTTTTTACAGGAGGGAGCCCCAAGCACCTGAGCCTGGGCACTCCCTCGCCCAGACAGTCCCATCCCAAGGCATAAGCCCAGGGGGCTCTGACAGCCCCCAGACAGGGAGTCTGGATCACAGGTCAGTCTCCACCTGCCCCTTCATTCTGGGCTGCCACTTAATCTCCCTCCAAGTCCTTTCCTTGGCTGAACACAGGGTCATTTGATCTTTGAGCAAGCCCCCATGTTTGCTTGGAGGTACTCCTGGTCCAGCCAGCACCAGCTAATTTTCCTTTGCCTTTCCATCCTGGAGAACACAAAGAGCTCCCCTATCCCATCTAATGCATTTTTTTTTTTTTTTTTTTTCATGTTGCGCTATATGCCAAGTCAAGCCACATAGGTAGGTTTACTGCAATGTGATAAAATCCCATCACTCCAGCCACCATGACCTTGAGCTGTTAGGAAGCTCACTGTGAAGACATTTTCATGGGCAGATCCCCAGAAAGAACAAAAAATTGAGAGTTCTTTTCAGTGAAAAACTCTGTGGTGAAGTGATCACAGCCTTCTGAAATGCTCCCTGAAACAAGAAAAAGTCCATCAAGTGCAAGTCAAGCCATGTTGTTGCAGCATTCATGGAATAGCTGTGGCACTAGCCCTTTGAGTTTCTAATACTGTCAGTGAAAGGAACAAATGTCTCCTCCTGGAAGTGGCCATCTGCCTGTGGGTGACTCAGTTTGCTGTGTGGCTATGTTTCACCTGATTACAGCTGCATGGGCTTTTTCTCCAGTTTTCCCCAGGCCAGAGCATACACTAGCCTTCATTTGTGGCTGCACTTGCTTTTTGAGTTTTTCTTTTTGTTGAGAGTCTCAGTAGAAATCTTTATGCAAGTTTTAATTGGCTATCTGTGAAAGCACAAGTTGGCAATGATTGCGGCTAAAGGCAAAACTAGTGTGAGTTGTTTCTGAGTCAGAAGATACCATCTTAGCAAAAATGGTCTTATAAGCAGAAAAAGCAACTGAACCCTTTCAGAAGAAAATTTCACGATGTTATTTTGTATACTACCTTGATTTTGACTAAAAATGAAGGAAAAGGCTGTGGAAAAAATAACCTGATATTTTTATATAACTGGAAATGTAGTCTTAATTTAAACGTATTTATGAACAGTTCGATAACTAAATATGGGGGAAAGAAGCAAAATGTAACAAAAAACAAATAACGTATTTTACAATTTCCCCTGGTTTGTTTATAAATAACTTATGTTTTATAGAGCTTGAATCTTTATTGTCTATAGTATCTCTAGAAGTTACTTTTTAAGTGAAAAAAAGAAAAAAACCCTCCAAATTCTTCCAATATAGAATTTGTTAAGTTTACATAATTTTATAAGGGCAAACTCTAAAGGGGATGTATTTTTGCTTGGCTTCCAGGGTAAAAATGAGAGGAAACTCTGGGGAAAACCAACAGCTTAGACGTCCCTCCAATTTTATTACCTTTAAAATTTGCACAGTAATTCTGATGGAAACATTGCCAGATCCATCAGGGAAATGCTAACTAAGGTCATTATTATTCTCTGGCAGTCATTCACACAATTCATGGTCAGACACTTGGAAGGCAACCTCTAAGGGCTGGTTCCTAATGGAAACATGAGCACTTTATTCTGGAGTGCACAAAGAAGAGAAAGGAACATTGCAGCTGCAACTAAATTACTAAACCCAGCGTCAAGATCATGGAGGCCTATTTGGACCACACTTAATGTGCATTGAGGCTCCAAGATCAGAAGAGTGGGACCCTTTCTGCTCCTTACAGAGCCAACTGGAACATACTTTCATGTTGACTCCAGCTTGGGATCCTCTATAGGGAGTAAAATAGTGGCCATGTAAAAGCCTTCTTCTTATATTGGAAAGAGAACTTTGTTCCTTTTAATTGTTCTTAGGGCATACACACGTATGCCCGAATGCCTGATTGGAACTGCAGCCATCTGAATATTTTCAAAAAGCATCATTGTCATTTAAAAACCAAAAAGCCAAATGAGAGGTGCCCTGGAAAAATCCACTTTGGAGGTGGATGAATGGGACTGCTGACTGTATTGTGATTGAAAGGGAGCTTGTAATTCACTTTGGGAAGCCACTGGAAAAGGCTTTCCCAGAAACGTTGAATACTTTGTAGAATGCCTTGAGCCTTGTTGTAGCTGAGATTATTCTTATGTCATTGTATAAACTGCCTCATAATCACCCAACATCCATTCTGGTTTATTTGCCATGGTCACTTGCATTTGGAGGGTGAAGACATCCTTGCTAAGCTTGTGCTGTGTATTTTCAGATTTTCTATCTTGTTCTGCTTTCTTTGTTCCTTCCATTGCTTTCTGCAGGTATTTAAACCCATGGTTCAAAAGAGACTATAATGTAGCTAAGTGGGTAGAAGATGTGAATAAAAACACTGAAGGACCATACTTTAGGTATTTTATGAATTAATTTTTATATCCTTTTCAAACTCTCCCAGCACATACAAATACTGTAGTGTGACTGGCCCTCTATCTTGTATCTCCCAATACAAGTTCCTGTAGGTGGAAAGGGGTCCTTGTTTATTTGCTGCCTTTTGACTCTGTTTTTAGCTTCGTGAGCAAGTCTGGTTCTTTTCTGAATGTGTTAAACAAAGCCATGTGAAAGGGTTGCCATTTAGTGCATGTCCCTATCACCATCTTAAGCTTTTTAGTAGCTTTCTCTTCATTTTACGCTATGTAGTGTTCTTTGGGCATGAAACATACTTTCCACTAATAAAGAAGCACTATTAACCTGAACAATTTTGTTTCTAGAATCTAGCAGTTTCATAATGCATTTTTCCTACTTACTGCCTAAGAGTGCATAGTGCATACAAAAACTCAAGGAAAAGGTTAAAAAGAAACTAAGTGAAATGTAATGGGATTTTACTTGGAGTAGAAACAATAATTTGGTCTAATTGGAAAATTATTGAGATAACATTGACCACATGGGAGTATGTGGAAGTAGGTTTTATTTGTTCAGTATAAGCATTTCCTATCAGAGAAAGGCTGTGCTGAGAAGTGTTTTACAGATTCTCAACAAAGCATTTAAGGAACTTTTTATGCTAATACAAATGTTGTCATCTAATACTACAAATAGAACAGGAAGCAGCTGGAAATATATTATTGACTTACAAAATAGAAGAATAGTGCTACATTTTAGAAACTATCAAATTCACTCAATTCACTGCAGCTCTGTGTACCATTACAGGTCAGAAAGAATTTCCAAGAGTTCTTAATGATATTTTTCACCCTTTATAATATCAAAGTGATTTCCTAGAGGTAAATGTCTACTTTATATCTGACCACTTTGTGGACAGCTAAGGTAAAGGAAAAATATGGACTCAATTACTACCTCTTCTGAAGACAATTTTACAATAAGCTTTCATGTTACCGATTGCCATGACTTGGGTCAACATTGAGCAGATATCAAAATATGCATGTGTTTTTAGCTCTCAGCACCCGTATAAGGTGGACTTTCTCTTCCAGTGTACCATTTAGCTTAGTTATGTATAGTTTGAGAAAATGATTAGACCTACCTGCCTTTTAATTTGATACGTAACATTTGCATATACCCCAAGGAAAGCATAACTCCTGCCTGCTCACAAAAATATATCCTGCTTTTATACCCCATATTTCCCTTCTGCCCTGTCCCTCTGCTTGTCCCACACTTTCCCACACTGAACCTCATACACATACACTCACATTCAAACATCCCACCTTCATCTGTAGCTCCCAAGATGGCCAACGGCAGGAAGACAGGTAAGATGATTTTGACTGTTACTTGGAACCTTCGCTCAGCTGCAGTCCTATTTCTCCTTTCTGTTTTCCTCAGGCTTGTGGGCAGATTGTAATTTGTACCAGCCATGGAATCAAAACAGAATGACTTTGGTGCTAGATGGGTCAGGGCTTTTATTCCCAAACAGATTTAGCATTCTTGCAGTGATAATTTGTAAAATGGTACCCCGGAAGAGTTGGTTCACCTCCCCTGGGTGAGCTGAGTAGTTTATGTGACTCTCAGAGAAAGAGGTCACGTTTCTTAAAATCAGCACCCAGGTCTGCCCAGAAGCCACATGACTAAATGCAATTTGGATGGGGAAATGCTTTAGCACCCCTGATTGCACGTGCAAAACTGCAAGGGCAATTTTAGAGGGTTCCTTTATTTTCTCTTCTAATATGACATGTTGATTCTTACAGTAGATAGTAAAATTAAGAATTAATTGTTAAAAATTATATTTATGTTTCAAAGTTAGATAAAGTTCTGTGGACAGTTATAATTTAACTCTCATTTTTAGGTTAATAAGGATGATAAAACTTGATCAATACAGAATTTCTGTGGTGGTGGTGGTGAATAATTGAGATGGCCCAAAACGTTTAACACAGTAATTCCAATGCAAGGGAGATTTCGTCCACTCTGTATCCATGCCAAGCCTCATATAGGAGGCCCAAAGTGCATCCACACCTTGGCTTGTGCTTTGCCAGCTCTATGCTTAGGTTCAGATCTGCTTCATCTGTGGCCAGGTCATGCAGGATTACCTTTACTGTCAAAACTACCAGTGAGGGCAAAAGTCACCTTATTGTTTTTTTGTAGAGACAGGATTTCATTGTGTTGCTCAAGCTGGTCCCAAACTTCTGGGCTCAAGTGATCCACCTGCCTTGGCCTCTCAGAGTGCCGAGATTACACCCATGTGGTGTTGGCTTTGTGTTAACCTTATCAAAATGCAATCTGCAGCAAACTGATCCAAAATATAGTCCAGCATTTAAAATATAGTAGCCACACTGCTACAGAGAGCAAGGCAAATGCTTAAAGATATCGAGTGATCAATGTCTCTGCTGTGCCCCCTTATCCAGTTTCGATATGACAGTGGTTGCTCAGATTGTACTCTGCATGGATTCAGGCCACCAGGAAGGAGTAGATGAGATCAGGGCAAGAGCATTATCTCACCACACCCAGATCCTGGATGCAGTTCTGTTGATGAAAGTGCTTTATAAGCTCTTAGAAGGTATACTTACTCTTGAGTATTATTCCGTTGATTACTCATTTCATCAGGGTTTTTGAGTCCACTCCATGATTCTTTGGAATTGTTGGTGACTCTGAAAGGAAACAAATAATTATAACTATCGTGTATCAAGTGCCTATGATATCCCTTTATTCCTCACATCCTAGAGTGTAAGCATTCATATTACATTTTTGCAGATGGGGGAAACTGAGATACAAAGAGTAACTCAAGGTGTCACAGCTAGTAAGTGTCAGAACCAGAACTACAGCCTGGCTCTGAGTCCAAAATCTGTACCTTTTCCATTTCACCTTAATTTAAGGTAGCAGAGTGGATACTGACCACTTTTCTCTTAGTACGCTTAACAAATTTTCCTGGATCAAGGCTGGGTGCCGTGGCTCATGCCTGTAATCTCAGCACTTTGGGAGGCTGAGGCAGACAGATCACAAGGTCAGGACATAGAGACCATCTTGGCCAACATGGTGAAACCCCGTCTCTACTAAAAATACAAAAATTAGCTGGGCATGGTGGCGTGTGCTTATAATCCCAACTATCTGGGAGACTGAGGCAGGAGAATTGCTTGAACCCAGGAGGCGGAGGCTGCAGTCAGTTGAGATCACACTACTGCACTTCAGCCTGGCATCAGAGTGAGACTCCATCCCAAAAATAAATAAATAAATAAAAATAAATAAATAAAATTAAAAACAAAAACTCTCCTGGATCAGCCTACTATGAAATTCACATATGAACACAAGTAAATAAGAGATGGACTTGTGTCCCTCTCCATGTGACTGGCCTGGTTTTTAGCCTGTACTTGGGGGCAGAACTGAACTGAGATTAGCCTTACAGGCATATATACAGAAGGTAATCCCAGGAAGTTTGATGTAGCCCCAAGAGACATCATAATCCATTGGCACACAAATATACCTTTATGTATAATTCTAATAGGGCACCCATTATGGTACATATCATGTTTAAAAATACAGTAATGGGCCAGGCGGGGTGGCTCACTCCTATAATCCCAGCACTTTGGGAGGTCAAGGCAGGTGGATCACTTGAGGTCAGGAGTTTGAGCCCAGCCTGGCAAACATAGTGAGACCCTGTCTCTACTAAAAATACAAAAATTAGCTGGGCATGGTGGTATACTCCTATAGTCCCAGCTACTTGGGAAGCTGAGGCAGGAGAATTGCTTGAACCCAGGAGACAGAGGCTGCAGTGAGCCGAGGTCATGCCAACTGCACTTCAGACTGGGTGACAGAGTGAGACTCCGTCTTAAAAAATAAAATTGAAATAAAATACAGTAATAATAATGGTTTATCTGTATCCAGTGATGCACTTTACTTTTTAAGTGAATGGGCTGGGCTGATGCCTGGCTTTAAGTGAAAGCCAGTTTGGAACTGCCAGGCAAGTAGTCAATCAAGGTCAGAAAAGAGCCTGGAAATGGCTTTGAATAAATGTCTTTCTTAGACATTTGTGAGAAATTTTGAGTTTATTTTCCATAAAGTGTTTTACCCTACCTTGTTCTTTACTCCTATTTTGACTCCTGCTCTGGTGCTCTCCATCCCCCCAAGATAATCACTTTTGTGCTGCCACATTACCATGCAGCCTCCAGGACCCTTTCCCCTGCTAAAACTTTCCTTTTCAGCTTCTATTCTTTTGCTGAGGGTCCAAGATGTCAATTAATTAGCATGTTATTTTAAGAAGTAGTATATGTGCAATTTCTTTGGGGTTCTGGAGAAAACCTCCTGTTTTTGTTCTAAATTGGCTTTGCCCATGGAAAGATATTTGAGAAGAAGACTGGACCTTCAGCACCCCTCCTTGGAATGGCTTTGTACATGTACCAGGCTGGCCATCTGGACCATGGCCAAGTTATAGCTGGAATGACTGTGAAGCTAAAAGCTAATAGCTAATGCTGTGCGTGCACCTGCTGCAGCAGATTAAAAAGATGCCCCATTTTGCATGATCCCCTAAAGAAAACAAGATTTAATTATTTGTTTGTGTACCTTGCTAGCTTTCCTGAACTTGGATATTTTATCAGTAGTGATTAGGCTAAAAAGCTGATGCCAGATTACTAGTCCTCATTTTAGAAAGGTGTATTTAGATATTTAAATGCAGAAGTTTGCCATCACCTTACATGTACCAAATTTGTTTTTTAAATATCACAGTCCTATTTAAAATGTTTTTTCTAAAATAAATTAATTTCTCTATTAGAAAAATAAGAAGTAGAACATTGCTTTAATAGAACTTTAGAGAATTGGAAATACTAGTATAAGTTACACCTATCCGCTTAGCAATGGAGAGCATTAACATAGGAGAAATCAAACAGTTGCCGTGGTCTAAGCATTCATGCAAAGGAGTGGTCCTGACCGTTTTTCAAAAATAGGAGTTACAGATTAAAAGTGAATTGCACCACTTCAATTCTTAAAATTCTTCATTCTTAAAATCTATCAAGAATGTTCACTACTATCTTATGGTGTGTAGGAAAAATTATTCTCAAACTTTAGCTTGAATTCAGTGTCCATAAAATGGAAATTAGTATGAAAACTATGGCAGAACCAGAGCAAAGGATATGACATGCATGCAAACCAAAATTTAAAACAAGGGAGGAAAAAAGACATCTTTATGCTATTGAAAGCAGTGTAGACAGTAGATCTTGACCTACCCAGTGCTGCTCCTTCCCCCTACTAACGTTCCCAGGCTGGGTCAGTCACAGCAGATGAGGTATATTCCACTGAAATAAATACTTGTGCTATAATGTGGCAGTGTAACCAGTTCAGTGATGTGGGTTTTTCCCATCTTGCACCAGGGAATAAGGAGCAGTGGATGTGTAGTGGTAACGTTTGTGAATGGAGTAGCTACCATAGTTGTCACGTCTGCTTTTCATTGATATGAGTAGACATTTTTTACTCAGCTTTCTTTTTTCACTTTAAAGACAAATTAGCAATAGATATGGGCTAGTCTAGTATGTTCAGCTTAGTCTCAAATTACCACTACACATGCAAAATCAATCATGTACAGCATAATACACCAACAGCTTACATAGAAATGCTGATTGTAGGGATGAATTAGGCTATTTTTTGTATGTCCTCATCAGACTTTGTTTGGCTGGAACTCTGCACTCCTTACTGCTTGCATGTTTACTAATTTATTATTAAAAGCCCTGTATTTGCCTTTGTTCCTTCACAACTAACACACTGGCCTCTGAATGCATGAGTGTTGTGTAAACTGGTGTGTGATTTAGCAACTAATAAATATATCAATTGTAATGGATTTTAAGATCTTAAGATAGAATTATTGTATGTAAACATTTTTACATTAAGTGGTAAAAATAAGCCATAATATTAATATTTTATACACTTAATTTGTCATTATAAGCTCTTAGAATAATTTCATACCTTGTCCATTTTAGCTTTTTATCTATTCCATAGGACATATTTTTAGTGGCTTGTAGTTGAAAAGTATCATTCTGTGTACTAACATTTAATCCATTGCAGTCATGAAATCAGGAAAATAAAATTGCAGCATTTCAGTATTGAGAATGTCACAGTGTCTTCCAAGTAGTTAAATCTTTGCAGTAGTGGCATATGAAAGTTAGAAGTCAGAGGGTTTGTTCTGAACCTACTTTTCAGATATTTGAAAAATGTTACACAATCACATGATATTTATTTCACGTTCTCAACATCTCAGGACTTTATCTCCTGCCAAGTCTCCTTCTTCATCAACTGGGTCTATTGCCTCCAGCAGAAAATACCCTTACCCAATGCCTCCACTTCCTGATGAGGAGAAGAAAGTGAACCGACAAAGTGCCAGGGTATGTGGAAACCTCTTCCATGTGCTTACATGTTCAGTCATTATCATTTATTTATGAGTTTATATTTTAAGAGAGAGAGAGAGAGAGTCATTTTTCTACCTTTATTCCTAAGAAAATAAAAAAAACAAACTTGAAAATAAGGAGATTCTTGGGGCTTTGGGCTTCAGATTTATATGTGTAAATAGTTTAATCTGCATTGATACAGTCTAGATGTATTTTGTATAATTGCTATGTATTTATATATTATTGTAGCTAATATATTAAAACCTAGAATAAACAAAACTGTATTTTGCTATGTCACCTTTTACATTTTAATGACACTGCCACTCTGTCTCACAACATTCCTGAAACATATCAGTATATGAAATCTGAGATACAGTGGAGTTTAGAGAGACAGACTGACCCTCAGAGACTTAAGTGAAGGATATAACCACGGAATAATTACCTTTATTGATGTCCAGGCTCTGTGGTGTTCATTTACGCTGTAATGTTGATCTTCTCAGAAGTAATTGCAAATAAATAAATAAATAAATAAATAAATAAATAAATAAATAAAGCTTGTAAGCCTTGGCATCTTTAGCTGCTGGTAGGTCTTGGGATCTTAGACTTTTCGGTCTCAAGAGATGTTTTGGAACCTCTTTGATTCCAAATATAAATTATGTGGTTCAAAGTAAATGTGGATTATTCAAATTTTAATTTGATTAACTCAAGAGTCAGTAAGAAGGCACAAATAATTAAAAGCTGTTTCAATCACTATAATCAAAAAGTCTTTAAAAACTACCATTGGTGTTTTGTTACTCATAATAAATTACCATTATATGTTAATATGAGAAATGGTAAAAGATAACAAAACAATTCAGATTCCCAGCATTCAGCTTTCTGAATTAATGAAAGACTTCTTGATTGATATCTAGTTGTTCACAATGTGATGTGTGATAATGAAATCTGAGACCGATGTTGTTCCTGCCCTCCTCAAAGAATTGTCTAAGTGTAGCACCCCACTTTTTTCCTCCTAAATTGTCTGTATCATTGTTTTGCTCCAGCAAGTTGGGGACATTCTCTCTCAGCTGTTATCATGTCAGAGTTTGTGTTTTTGGAGATGTTACCACACAAGATCCTGCAAAAATGATAGCTCCCTAGAAAAAAATGTCAGAGGTTTTCTGTCGTGGCTGCACAAGGGAATTATCAGGAAAGCTTTTAAAATATTCTGATGCCTGAGTTCCACCCAGAGAGATTTTTATTTAGTTGGTGTGGTGAGCTGCCTAGGAAATGGAATTTTGGAAACCTCCCCAGATTAATGTAATGTGCAGATGAGGTTGAGAACCACTGCTTTAGCTGGCTGTCTCAGAATCCTGGGGAAAGGAAGGGCATGTGTAGCTTAAAAAATAATATTTTAAATTCTTTTATTCATTTGAGACACAATATTTACTTTATTCAAAATGTTTAGTAACATTAAATTAGGATGTGATGGTTTTTGTATCAAAAGATAGCTGTTGTTAAAAAGGTTGAGACACAGGTTTTCAGAAGGAGAAAACTAAAAGTTGGAGTTTTTATTCTATCCATTTATTAGACTTTGCAAGAGTGTGCATCCACGATCACATACATATGGATGGAATCACTGAATCTTTTTCATCTCCTACTCAGAATAAACCTGCTTCCTGCTTTTACAATGTGCAATTTTGCTCTTCTCTGTTGTGCAGCTATGGGAGACATCCATTTAAGATCAACTGTTTACATGTGATACATCGAAACTGTTTACTTCAACTTTTATAGAATCCCAGGCTCATGGAATCACTAAAAGTCTATCTGCTCTTCAGACTATATGAAGACCCTCTGAGATGCTACAGAGGAGAGGAAGCCGAGTCTCACATCTGGTTACCATTTTCTTTTTGTCATTGGCTTGGATTTAACCATGAAAAGAACTACTGAAATGTTACACTATAACATGGAACAATAAAGGTACTGGTATGTTAATGGATAATCCGCATGACAGATAATATGTAGAAATATTCATTAAATTAACTCACATGACCCAAAATGTAGCAAGTTTCCTAAGGGACAATAGTGGATTCAGAACTTGACATTCTGAAGCACATCCTCATTGTAAACAGTAATGCTATATGCATGAAGCTTCTGTTTATTGTTTTCTATATTTAAGGAAACAACATCCCATAATAGAAACGAGCATGCAGGGCTAAGGCATATAGGATTTTTCTGCAGGACTTTAAAGCTTTGAGAGACCAATATCCCACAGGCTAACTTTAAACATGTATTTTTATTTTTGTTTTGTTTTTTACTTTTCATATTTATATTAGCATACAAGGACAATTGTATATATGTAACATTTTTAAAAATTTTAAAAAAGCAGCTGTTACACACAAGTGTATTTTGCCAAATGCCTAAAAATTCAGTCACAGTCACATCATCGTCATCTGTTCAGTGATCTTCAAAGACTATAAGCAGGCGATGTTGTAAATACAGTGGTCAATACTGTAAATGTGTCTCTCCATAATTGGTATTTGTCCAAAACATGAGATCACACTTCCTTGATGACAGCGGTTTTCTGTCATGGCTACCTTTAAACTGTGCACAGTCTGGAGGCAGTTAAGTAATTGAATGAGAGAACAAAATGCTCAGCAAAACTTCTGGCCTCCACAGTTTGCTGATGCAGGAGCCCACTCTGCTGCTGATGGGCTGCTCCCTGGAAATCATCCCTCCCATCCATCCCTCCCATCTCATCCCAGTGAGCCAGTCCCTCAGCAGTGTGTCCTGCTGAGATTAGGCAAGTGCACCAAAGACACATGAGACCACATACTGCCAGTGAGCTGGTAGCTTCTGACTTGCCAATACTCTAACTCTGTGGCCTGAAGTTTTGTTCCTTCACAAAACATTAGTCACTCTTATCTGTGAAATGAATGACTTGTTTTAACAAAAACAACTCTGACACTGTTGATTAAGGATATTTGTCATCACTGGGATGTGAGTCCCAGCAAGTCATTCTGTACTGATTGAAGCAAGATGATGGAAGATTCTACTGTCTGAGCTGGGCAGCCTCACTGTTCATAAAGGGTTAAATTAGATCTAAACCACAGAAATGCAGCAACTGAGAAGCTACTCTAACAGCTGGCAGGGGGAAAGAATCTGATGCTTTGAACCATATATTTTTTAATCCATGGGAAAGTAAGAGTCTATGTTAAAAGCCCCTTCTTTAACACCAAAGTTCGATAGCTGTTATGCAGAGCTGTCATTCCAAAACAAAGCTAGCTACCCTAATGAGGCTGGAAGTTGATGCGCTCAGTCACATGGTCTGCTCTGAAGTATACTTCTGATTTCCTCATTTTCTGTGTGTTCTTGAGAGGAATAGAATCTGCAGACAGGGTTTCAGAAAAACTCTCTAAATTTGATCCTCTCCCATAGTATCCATGGACAAAATCCATCTCATCTTTGTATGTAATCAAACTGATTACATGTGATTACATATGATGCCCAAACTGAAGGGCTGAGTTAGAAGGCAGCGTTTTATACTGTGTGTCTTCCGTAATGGACCTCTCTTCTGAAAGTCTTTGAAATGTTTGGAAAGCAATTTAATGTTCCAAAATTGCGTATTGTAAAACAGCATTTTTCATTACAGGAAGGTTTGGGTGAGTGTTGGATAGTGTTGCCACATAGCTCAAGCAAAGGACAGAAGGGCAGCCAGATTGAAAGATGTAGCAAATAAAGTGATTTTTTACCACGATCACTGTAACATGCACTGAATGTTTCTTGGTATTGAGTGTATAAAAGGCTAATGCTATAAGGTTTATTTTGACTATAAAAGAGTTTATAGATTTGAATGTAAGGTGCCTCATGTAAATATGCTTCCTAGTTACAGTTACACAAGCTCTAATTTGAAAGAATCCACAAATGGCTAGCTGAGAAGTTAACACATCTCTGTCTATCATCCATCCGTCTGTCTTCCCTCACCTAAGTTATTTTTACATGAAGTTATTATTTCTAATGAAAATCATTATCATGTGCCTTTTCGGAGACATGGTTGCTCTGGAGGCATATCGTTTGTAATCGCCCACCTTGGTAATAACCTTCCTGTGAAACAGAATGAAACTTTTTCTATTTGTAGAGATTATGATTTTAGGTATACGGTAACTTTAATGTTCTATTTTTAGAATCTACTCTATCTCCCATGTTTAAATATTCTTAGAGCCATTTGTGGGATTCACTGACAAATTTATAGTCTCAAGGGATAGTTTCAAGAAGTATCTATATCTGTACTCATGGTTGGGGTTCTAGAGGCATTACATCTAAATATTTATGACTTTTCACCCAATGAGGTAGGTAGAATGTGAACCCGTAGCATTAAATATACAAGCACAGCATTGTTTCTTTTTAAATATCTATTTTGGAGGAAACTTTGAGGACATATAACAGTTTATATCATGTAACTAATATTTATATATTTCCCAGTCCACTACAGAATCATTGCTAAGCAGAAGAGAGCAGTTATTTGGCCTTTGTGTTCCATTGTATGCCTTTTTCCCCTTTCTAAGGTTTTATGCATTGATAAGATTATAGACTGGCACCCTGCTGCCCGACATGTTCCATTTATCCATAGTCATTGCAGTGCAGTAAACCCTGATTTAAAGGAACACTTAAATCAGTAAGTGACACTCCAGTAAGTGTCAACAGGAAGGTGCGGGATAGCAGGGAGTCCTTAAGGATGGACTAGCCACATGAACTGTCCTCTGCATCCAGCAACTTTTTATTTACATGGGAAGTGGCATGGTCCTCTGAACTCTGCAGGCTGGAAATGATCCCTAGGGCACATGCAATCTGTGGAAAGGAATAAATCAGTACTTCTCAGACAGTGCAACATGGTAAGGGCTTTCAATTCGCTGTGGTTGCTGTATTTTTAACAAGAAACTAGGAGTCTCGATTAGGAATAACTTATTATTAGAGTTGTTCCTTTAAAAAATGGCGAATAAAGCAAATGTGGACTTAAAATGCCAACTTATTTTTCACTTTGATATTGGTGCTTTATTAAGTGATGCCACAGTTTCTCTCTCTTCCGTCTTGCTTTAAAAAGGATTTTACAGTTGTGTTTGTATATAAGGTCAGTCCAGCATAGAATTTCTGAAAGTAACATTAATAGGGTTTCTAAAGGTGGTGTCAGAAAGATAAAATTGGATATTCTGTGCACTTTCAGAGAATGACTATTTATGTTTGAATTTCATGGCAGGCTTACATTTCTTTTCTGTGACTCTCTTGCTTATCTGCATAATTTAATCCTATGTATTGTCCCAGATCTCTTGTGGCTACTTTACCTGTTACCTTTTTTGGGATTTTGTTTTTTATGTTTTACAGTTACCTTTCGACCAGAAGATATATAGTATTTCTATTCACTTTTTTTCAGTGTTTTAAAATCAGGTTTGTTTATTATTCATTTTAACCATTCATTTCCTATTGTCATGTAGTTCTATTTTAACCATATATATATATTACTTTAAATATTTCCGTATGTTATTCAACATGATAATAAATCCTTATCTAAAGAAAAGACTATTTTACTTTATTTTATTTAAAGGAAAGGGAATTCATTGACAGGTTATTGAGTAGTTATATGGGAAGAGGAGAGCCAAGTTAACAACTGGCAGGAGTGAGAGGGAGGAGACAGCTGCTGGCACAGTGTGATAGGACACATCTGGCTGCTGCCACTGAATGCCCACATGGGCAGCATATTGTAAATATCACCCTACCAGTTGGTAAGTTGGCATGAATTTTCCATGAAACGCTCTGACTCCCATTTGCAGCATCATATCTTTTTATGTTCTTAATTATATTTTTCCTTTCATTTTTGTTTTTTTCCTAAAACTGCCACCTAAATACCTATCTATGCCGTTAAGTGTATGAGTCAAGATAAATTTCTCATTCTTGCTAGTATAGTTTAAGATGTATAGGAAGCAAACATTTCTATGGAATAGGGATTAATTTGGGGCTCAAATGTTTTTTTGTTGTTTTTGTTTTTCCTCCTGAGATGTTTTTTGAATGGATAAGGCTACTCTGGTTGTGGATGCAGCAACTTTTCTCCTGGCATGGAAGGACTATGGACTTTGACAGTTTCCTGTTGATAGTATAATATAATGAGGGGCCCAGTCTGCTCTTTTAAAAATCGGCTGAGCAGCAGCAGTCCATCCCAACTGTGTGTGAGTAGCCCAGCTGTTAAAAGTACACCTGTTGGGAATTGTTGGCACATGCTCATAGCATATGCTCTGTGGGGGAGATGCTTTTAATTCCAAGAGGAGTTTTTCTGCCACATCTGCAGATGCACAGCAAAGATACAGCAGGACTTTAGAAAGTAGGACACAGTTGCTACTTTTTATTCATTGCTTTGTTAGTTCTTCAGATGGAGCATCTTCTGGTTGTTTGTAAGCAGAAAAAACAAAACATTCAAAACCAAAAACCTGTCTAACTAGTACTTTTGTTCTTTATTTCCATGGTCTGACAAACAGTAAGCATTCTCACAGTGAGATTTTGAGGGATGCTTCTGGAACCATTCTGCTTCCCAAGTAGCTCCCCCTTCAGTAGCTGTGCAGCCCTTTTTTCCTGACTAGGAACTTTCTCTGTTGCAGATGTCAGTTCCTTTGGCTAAGTTGTCACTTGAGAGAACCCTAAGATGCCCTAGGGAGTAAAGGTGGCAGTCATCTTTATCTTCACCCACTGGCACACGAGCAGCTAATTCAACTTAGGAAGTCCAAAGAGTGTGAATTTCAAGATGGAGAGGAGATAAGAAGCAGTGAACTTTGGGAGACTATGGGGCATTTAGTCCTAGCATAGACACAGATTGGAAATCCACAGGAAGATTCCTGAAGCCATATGTGCAGGAGAGCACACATTGTCACGAGGGGTGTGGTGGGAAGAGAGGTTCTGGATGCCTAAGACAGACATGCTTGGCAGTTTAGTGTTGGCTCTGTGAATACTTTGTGGTCCAGTCCATGATAGATTGGTCACTCCTGCCTGACACATCCCTGTTGCATTGTTATAGAACCTGTATCATATGGGGAGGTTTCAAGGCTGGCAGGCTTTTGATCAGGTAATCATCATTTCATGTTTTTAAGTATCCTTGAAATCAGTACCACCCAATATGTGTTTTTGGTTTTGTTTTACAAAAAGGCATACAATGAGACTAAAATTAATGCACATACAGAATCATCAATAAAGTTTCAGAGTTTATGATGAAAAGGTATTTTTCTTTCTTGTAAAAAAAAATATATATATATATATAATATGCTGATCTACATTCATTTTAGAGCTTAGCCTCTTATTTTATGAATTTTCAGGCTGTGATTTGTGTTGGATGGTTAAGCTCTAAAATAATGCAAATAACCCCAGTCTTTAAATATAGCGGTGCTAAGTTGTGCAAGGTAACACAATGCAGAAACAGCTGATATGAGTTAATTCTTAGTAATAATACAGAAGTTCCTGCTAAACTATATATGTGTATCACTGCCTGATTAGAAACCCCACTTTTCTTTTCCAATCCAGCACAAAATCAAACTCTGATTCTACAACCAGTCTTTTTAAAGGGCAAAAATGACCCAACACCTTTGTTTTGTATAGAAAAACTTTTTTTTTTTTTACACTAACTGCAAAAGTGCTTAAAAAAAGGTTTATTCAGGATAACTAAGCATGCACTCCTTTTTTAACTTGCTGGAAGACTTGCCCCTCCCCAGCATCTGTAAAAGACATCTTTGAGAAACTGGGTGTTTTACCTAAACATAGTAGCTTACATGTTAGCCAGCAGTAGGTCAACACTAGTGTTTTCCACGTCTATCACCTTTGACAGGTGATGTCCATCTACAGATGGTGGAAGCCACCCCATGGGGAGCTGTAAATAGCAGCATGGTTTCACCTTTGGTAATCAGGTAATCATGTATATATACTTAGATTTGCATTATTTCAACATTTCTCTGCTACTCTGCACTTCAGGTTCGTTAAGCTATTTTAATAATTACTGGGGTTCTGGCAAACACCAATGGGAATGTATATGGCAACTGCTTTCCTGAGCAAGTGTGATTTGTTTTATGGCTGTTCAAGTTATAAAATTGTTCTTACATTGTAGGTAAACAAAATCTTGATGTTTCTAAAGGTCACTGTAACTTAAGGTTCAAATTTCTGGCACAGTTTTACTAGTATTCACTTCTGAAGCTAATAAGATACCACAGTTTTCTATGTTACTCTCATTGTAACATCAGTAAAGTGACTTTCAATAAAAGATTTATGTTATTTTGATGCACGGCTCTTTTCTCTTTTTTTCTCCCATTTTCTCTTTCAGAAGCTTTGTTAGGGGTACAGTCAAGGGATTGTTTCTTTTTTGTTCACCAGTGTCCCGGAAGGGGTGACTAACATGATGAGAAATACCCTTTAGCAAAGCCTGAGTGCTCAACTTATTGCAGTTTCCTCATCTGGGGGGCAGAAGTAGTTTACTTATTTATCTATTTGCCTCTCCTCATAAGCATGTCCTCCCTCACCCTAATGAGGATCAATTTCCTACATGCTAGCCTGTGGACCAGGCAGTGTGTTCAATAAACTTGCAGAGTTTATGAAGAAAAGGTATTTTCCTTTCTTGTTTTATATATATACATATATATATATATACACACATATATATATATGTATATATATATATAATGTTACATATATTACATATTATATATATATAATAAGTGATATGTATATTCACTAAGGTGATCTGCATCACCTTAGGGCTTAGCCTCTTATGAGTAAGTTCACCTGTGCTGGATTCTAAAGCACTGAGCCTGGGATGGACTCAGTTTAGGTTCATGAGTTCATTGCCTAAAAACTGTTCCACCCTGGCCTTTTCATCTTCCAGGCAGCCATTTTACTTACCAGTCATTATTCTGGCGTTTGTAGGGTCCTTGCCATCAGCTCACAGGCTGCATAGGAAATAAGTAAGTTATAAGTAGTCAAGGTCCTGTTTTAATGTGAGAAAAAGAGAAGGAAGTCACTGATGAAGGGTTTGTACATTTATTATGAGATTTTAAAAGTTTATGATGATTACATATAGCTCCATTTCTTGTATTTATATTTTAGTCATATAATAATTCATTTAGATGAACACTGAAATAGTAACACACTCAGCTGAGCCAAAGCAAAGTCTAGTGCACAGATGGCAGAAGTTGTAGCCACATGCCATCTCATGGACTGATGGTACCACTGGGAACATCATGCTGAAGGAGAGTCTAAACTCCAATTTGGCTCCATGGAAGCAAGAGCTTTGATTTAATATGACTGCTGTAGTACAAATCTACGCCAACTATCCCCAGGAAGCAACGGATCTCTGGCAGCCACATTCCTATAGAAGTGCAAGAAATGTGTTAAAAGTATTTCATAAATCATGGATCTCTCGAAGCACATGAGTAAAGCACACATCTCCAAAATAAAATTAAATCCTAAATGAGAGTGATTTGAGGAGCTTAATTCTCCAAATAGTTGAAGTAATCAAGCTTGAGCTCACAGCTCTACCACCCTCCAAATAGATGCTTTAAGAAAAAGTAAACAGACCAGGAAATAATTTTAAAGTAGTGGGTGAGGCTGCACTAGAGGTATACAAGGAATGAAACACAATCCAACATAAAATAGAAATAATGCAACAGGAGATTCACTTGTAACCAAGACTGGCTGTAATTAAAGAAAGGAGATGAATCCATCAAATTTGTCAAGGGGAAGGAAACTTTCTAACTACAGCGACATACTGAAGACTATGCTCCATGCTTTTGGAAAGAATGGCTGAAAGCAGAAGGGGAGGAGATTCATTTTGAGGTATTAATAATAATTAAAACGGAATTAACTGAATGATGTCTGATATGGTTTGGCTCTGTGTCCCCACCCAAATCTCCATCTCAAATTGTAATCCCCCATGTGTCGATGGAGGTACCTGTAAGCCCCAAATCGAGGGAGGGAGGTAATTGGATCATGGGGGCAGTTTCCCCCATGATGTTCTTGTGATGGTGAGTTCTCATAAGATTTGATGACTTTATAAGCATTTGCCATTCCCCCTGCCTGCATTTCTCTCTCCTGCCGACTTGTGAAGAAGGTGCCTGCTTCCCCTCCCGCCATGATTGTGTTTCCTGAGGCCTCCCCAGCCATGTGGAACTGTGAGTTAAAACCTCTTTCCTTCATAAATTACACAGTCTTGGGTAGTATCTTTATAGCAGTGTGAGAACAAACTAATATAATGTCAGAGGCATGGTTTTGTAATACTTGAGCATTCACCCCAAAGCCAATTCAGAACCGCAACTGATGAAGCACACCTTGGGACTTGTTCAGTTATGGCCTGTAACCTTGGGTGAGCAAGGGCCTTCTTCCCTACTACTTATCCTCAACCAGAAAATTACCATTTCCTTAGACTATGATTTCCTCAGAGGAACCTAGTAAGTTGAAACCAAACAGCAGGTGCTGGGACACTGAAGGTGAGCTCCCTGCCTCCTAATCCTCTGAGCCCCTTTTTAGCCCTTTTCTAGACAGCCCAGGCTCAAGCAGAGCTCTGTGGCCTCACAAACAATATATGGAGATGAAATCTATAGTCACCATGTAATATATAGCAGGCTGCTTCACATTCTGTTATGCAACCTGGGCTAACTAACTTGCCATAATTACATGTTAGGTTTTAATAAATATTAAATGAATGAATATATATTTTAACAATATTGTAAAAAGTAATAGTGAAATGAGGCTAAAGATGCTTAAAGAAAATGTTTTATTTTCATTGGTTGACAACTAATTGTTCAGTTAAATGGTAACTCTCATACTGTATCCTAAATTAAGACAGACACTGCTGGCAAGTAGAAAATAGACTAATTTCATTTTTTATCTGTTAAGCTCTCTTGATTAAAAAAAGGCAAACCAGGCCAGTTTTAAATTTAAGAAACAGAAACAGTGTTAGTGCTTCTTGTATCAACACACTTCATATTCAGAGCTACCCCCAAGAGATAACATATTATCTGTTTTTCAAAGGTGGGGAAACTGAAACTTGGTATTATCTATAACGATCAAACCACACAGTAAAAGGCACAAGCCAGCATTAGAATTCAGATATTACTTGAAAGCATACAGCTTAAATTTTTTTAAAAAAATTCTGCCATTACAAATGTAGTACCTGCTTATTGGAGAATGTTTGGAAAAACAGTAAGAAGGGAGAAGATGCTCATGATCCTGACTCCCAGTGGTAGCCAGATCAATGTTTTGGGACATACTTTCCAATACTCTGCTATGTATATTTTTTAAAGTGTGAACACATAGCATATCAAAATGGATGTATCAGTATTTTAAAAACTAAAATCTGACTTAAAAAGGAAAGCATATAGAAAATCTGAAAAGTACTGAAATATATAAAGAAAATTAAAGTCATCTAGAATTCCATTAACCAAAAATAAACATTGTTAATGTTTTCATATATTCCCTTAGTCTTTTTATATCAATTTTCTTTTTATATAGTTAAGCTTATAATATACAAGATTTTTAAGTATAGTTAAAAACGGTTTAAATAGATGATGACAAAAAGGGACTTGGTGACAGATAGTATTTGCCAATTAAATTATTCAATAGGTTTTAAAGGGGCTGTGCTAAATTTCTACTAAGGTGAATCCTGACATGGATTACCGGATTACCTTTTTTGTTGTTTTTTTTGCACCCAACTGGGTCTGTATCATTTACATAAGATTTTATGTTTGGAGTCTTTCTAGGAGAGGAAAGATGGCAGCTGTAGTATGATTAACAGTTTTTTGTATATCAATGAAAAATAACGTGATTTAAACATTTTGCACACTTAAATTTACAAAGAGTTTTAGCAAGAAAATAAGGCATGACTGACAGTGGCTCAAGGAAGTTCTAAATGGTGTAACAGACTAGATCTTATTAAAGTTCCAAAGAATTTATTATCAAAACTAAAAATAAAACTTCAGTTGCACATAAAGTAATAAATTTTAAAACAGCTGTTGAAAAGACGTGATGTAAGTTTACACATATTACTGAAGGCAGAGAGGACAAGCAAAAGAGAGCTCCAGTTGGAATGTCAATTATGTTCATTCAGCTTCCTCTTGATTTAAACACTCATGACACACTGGATGAACTGAAAGAAAAATCAGCATTATACAACAGACCTCAAAACACTTACACAGCATAGCTTATTTCTGGCAGCTTACATTGGGTTTTCTAATTTGAACATGAGTAAAACAACCCCCACTAAATGACAGATGGAAAAGTTTCCTTTTTTTAGAGAAGCAGTCTAATGTAAAATCCATTGGGTTTCTCACACCAAAACTTTTTACAGAAAGCAGATACTACTTCAATGGATAACTAATTTAAATAACTATTCAAATATTATTTAATTTAATCTAAGACTCTAGAAATGGTCATGGACAAAGATACCTACCACAAACACAAATAACTAGAGTTTATACTTTTGTATCATGTGGGGATTTCCAAACTGCACAGTATTACTCTAATGGAGCACCTTTAAACAGTTTAGTCCCTTAAAATCTGCTTTATTCAAATAAATCATAGCATGCAAGTATATGTATGCACAGAAACAGAACAGCTAACCCTTCAGACACCAAAGATTAGAAATATCAGTATTTGCTGTGACATGTTGGCTTCCCCACTAAACACAAAGCAATAGATTCTACTCTATTGGTGTTCCCTACACTGGTAAGGTACTGTGCACTGCTAACCCACAGCTCTATCACAAGGTCAGTGTGATTATCCCTATTTTAGAGAAAAGGAAAATAAGGATCAGAATGTTTAGAAATCTTTTAAGTAGCCCGTCAGAAGCCAAAGCCCATGGTCCTTCCATCCCCCAGGCAGCCTCCTGATCTTTAGAAAGAGCAAGGGGACTGTGAACTAAGAAGTTAATGCATGCTCAAGAGAACACACACTTAAGTAGTAAATTAAGCATATTTATACACACATACTAAGCTTTTAAAAGTGTATTAGTTTACTAATAACTGCAGCAGCTGCTAAACCAAAAATATATGCATCTTATATTTTGTAGTGGAGAAACACTTTAGAATATTCAGTGATTACACTGATTTCAATTCTAACAAGTTTTTTTTTTTTTTTTTTAAATCAATAGCTGAGCCAAAACTGAAGAAACAAGTAATCAATCTCCCCAGCTTTGTTATACACATCCAGCTAATGCCATCAAAGATGGCACTTGGTTATGTTCCCACTGGTTAACATGGCCTTGCCCTACCCTCATTTAGTGTGGCTGT